GTTTGGAGGGGACAGACGTCGAGACTACTCTATGCTGAGACCGCTATCGCTATATACTGTGACCGCTATCGCTATATACTGTGACCGCTATCGCTATATACTGTGACCGCTATCGCTATATACTGCGACCGCTATCGCTATATACTGTGACCGCTATCGCTATATACTGTGACCGCTATCGCTATATACTGTGACCGCTATCGCTATATGCTGATGACCATCGTGCGCTAACCATTTTTTGCTATATACTGTGACCGCTAACCATTTTTTGCTATATACTGTGACCGCTATCGCTATATACTGTGACCGCTATCGCTTATATACTGTGACCGCTATCGCTATATACTGTGACCGCTATCGCTATATACTGTGACCGCTATCGCTATATACTGTGACCGCTATCACTATATACTGTGACCGCTATCTACTGTGACCAAACTTGCGGATACTCAGCTGCTGCCGCCACCAGAAAGTTTAGTGAGCGTTTTAAGGAGATGCCAAAGCCGCTGGGCTGCCAGGATGGTAGAAGTGTCAGGCCTGATGTATGAGGAGAGGGCCGATGATGACCAGCGGCCCAGCTGCTGGAGGGCAGAATGGGGGAGCCCCAGGGACGCGGCGCGCGTGGCGGCGCCTATCCGGAAGGAGTGGGCTGTGTAGAGATGGCGAGACAGTTTACAAAGCAGCAGTACGGACTTGAGTTGGGCTCTGAACCAGTTGGGGGACATAGGGAGGTTATCAGGGGTAAGAAATAACGGTCCGTTGAGATCTCCTTTCCGAGAGCGGAGGCGAGTGTAATGCATCATGGATCTGTAGGGACAGGGAGAAGTGTCAGACCGAGCTATGACTATATTGCAAGCGCCTTTGCGTTTGGATGCTTGAGGTGGAGGTTGAAGTAGTCGGGATAATATGACAGGTCAGAGAAGGCAATGTCTCGGGATGCATTAAAGGTGGCGTGAGAGTTTGTGAATTCGCTTATGCGTAAGAAGCCCATTTTCATGTAGGATGCAGCGGAGGAGAGAAGGTGAAGAGACGGAGGGACTAGGCCGTGGCGAGGGATTCCGTGCAGGGGATCTGGCATGGCGATGGATAGGCAGAAGGGCAGAGGCGTCAGAACTCCTGGAATTTAAAGCGAGAGAGAGAGTCAGCAATACGGTTAGGTGACGAGGGACGTGACGAACAGTGATGATAAATTGTTCGAGACTGAGAGCCATGTGATGCATCTAAGGAGGGTGTGATTTGGGGAGAGGATGAACGACTTCTGTTAATTATTTCAATGGCGTCGAGGTTGTCGCACGTAACGGAAATCCTTTTCCTATGCCGCGTATGGTTCCGCAGCACGCAGGCTCCGGTCACGGGATATATCTCGTGGAGCGCGGAGGAGATGCTTCGAGGGAAAGCGTCGGGCCGGGGCCCGGCGAGCCACTGGTCCTGGAAAACCCCCAAAACCCACGGACGGGGCTGCGTCCGTGAAGAACCGCGGGGCATCTGAGACAGGATGATGTCACTGTAAAAAAAAAGAGATACACCATCCCAGCGGCTCTGCAACAGGACCGGAACGCCAGGTCGGAGCAGCGCCCCGCGTCCGGGCAGACGCGTCATCGAGGGAGGAGACGGAGCCGGCGAGGGAAGGAGTCTGGAATTAAAAGAACGACCTTGGGGAATGATACAGACGGCATAATGAAGATGCCCGAGGAGGGAGAGCAAGGACGCCTCGAAGTGACGGGAAGGCCAGGGCAGACCGGGAGAAAGCGCGGATGCGTTCGAGCTTGTCCAGCGGGAGGGAGGCCTCCATGGCGCGTGTGTCGAGGCGGATGCCGAGAAACTCCAGAGCGTTGGCGGGGCCTGTGGGCTTCCCGGAGTGGAGGAATCCGAGGGCAGAGAAGGCGGGCCTGAGCTTGCGGAGAGAGCCCCCGGATCAGTCTGAGGGTGGGTCGACTATGAGGGAATCATTGGGGAGATGCAGACAGAGGGGAGCCGCGCGAAATTAAGCAGAATCCGACACGGCGCCTCCGAGAGATTGTTGAACGAGAGGGACTACTCCGGCAGTCAAAGGTGAGGCGCACTGCGAAGAAGAACTCCGACGCCACTTGACCCCTGAACAGCGCCAGTGGTCGGGGTGGATGGCAGCAGCTTGAACGCGACCGGGATGACGGCCTTGGAGAGCCAGGAGCCGGGGCCGAAAGTCTTTATCAGCCTGATCGGCCGGTCCACGGTAGCGGACTGCAGGGAGAAGGGCGCTGGAGGGAAGGGGCTGTTGATGCTCGGGCGGGCCCGGAGCGGGGACAGGAGAGGACGAGTATGAGACGCTTCTTCCTGGAGTGCTTGTGGGTGGCGATGCCCATCGGGTTAGAGCGAGACGGAGAGAAGGGGCCAATGACGTAGCCCACGGACACCTCCCGCGCCCGAGCCGCGTGCCGACTTGGGGCTTACGGAGAGCCGGGAAGAGGTTGCGGGACACGAGACGCCGAGGGACCTAAACAGAGCCTGCAGTCTAATGTGAGGGATTTAAATAGAGCTTGCAGTCCAAAGTGAGGTATTAAAACTGAGCCCGCAGTCCAAGTGAGGCGTTTAACGGAGAGCCTGCAGTCCGGTGTGAGGGAGTTAAACGACCTGTAGTCCGAGGTGAGGGAGTTAAACGATGGGAGGGATCCAACAGAGCCTGCAGTTTTTTATTTTTTTTATTTATTTATTTATATTTATTCATATTTACATTTATTTATATTTATTTATATTTATTTATTTTTATATATGAGCGTTCCAAATATAAGCAGTACCATATATGCAGTTCCAATATGAGCAGTTCCATATAAGCAGTTCCGTATACAAGCCGTTCCATATATAAGCAGTTCCATATATAGCAGTTCCATATATAGCAGTCCCATATATAGCAGTCCCATATATAGCAGTTCCATATATAAGCAGTTCCATATATAGCAGTTCCATATATAAGCAGTTCCATATATAAGCAGTTCCGCATGAAGCAGTTCCGGGTACGGTATAACGGCTCCAGATATAAGCAGTTCCAGATATAAACAGATCCGTGCGGGATTAACCTGGGAGCTCGCAGTCCAATGTGAGGGATTCAATTTGGGAGCCGCAGTCCAGAAGGATTTAAACGGGGCTTGCAGTCCAAAGAGAGGGATTTAAACAGAGCTCGTAGTCCAGAGAGGGATTTAAAGAGAGCCTGCAGGCCAAAGTGAGGGATTAAAACTGAGAGCACACAGTCCAATGTAAGGGATTAAACTGAGGTCTTGCAGTCCAATGTGAGGAATAACGGAGCTTGCAGTCAGAGTGAAGGATTTAAACGGAGCTTGGTTAAGAGAGCCTGCAGAACAATGCGAGGGCTTTAAACCGAAGCTTGCCCACCATGGCACGGGGCCAACTGAGCCTGCAGTACAAGCGCGGGGCGAACCGAGCCTGCAGTACAATGCGAGGGGAATAAACCGTCCGCATACTTACCCACAACGCCAGAAGACAAGGGACAACACAACGGGACCACGCACCGGGCCAGACCGGCCGTATGCAGCAGCAGGCCGCGACGAGACGAGCAGCGGCGAACCCGCAGAAAGAGCCCGCAAAGGAGGAGAGCGGCAAAGACCCACGGACCACAGCACGAGACCCGCAGCAGGTGCAGCGACGCGGAGGAGGAGCAGGCCACACGCAGCAAGACAGAGGACAGCAGGGACCGCAGGAGTAAGCGTGAGTAGACAAAAGCGATTCCTCCAGAACGATTCATGCAAGGCTTCGAGAAGGCCGAGAGTGGGAGTTTCTCCGCTTTTAAGCGGCTTGCCTGGCCGGTACGGTGATTGGAAGGGGGCGTTTGCAGTGCGATAGGCTGGGGATGAGAACCGGCCTGGAGGGGTTACCTTTGGCTGACGTCTACCAAATTGAATTTCCGCTGGCTGCATAACCGTGTAGCGTGTATTCACTGTGCGAGGCAACACTGACCTTTGATCTGTTTTCTTCATGGAGACGGGACGGACCACATTTTTAAATAAAAAAATAAATTAAATAAAAGCATCGGTTTTATATAGCACTTTTTTGGACTCTCAAAGAGGCTTCAATTGTCAATCCATACACAGTGGTGATAAACTACTACTGTAGTAGGGCACACTGACAGAAGCGAGGCAACTAGTATGTGCCATCGGCCCCTCCGACCACCACCAACCATTCATACACACACACCAGACTCATTCTAAGCAATGTGGGTGAAGTGTCTTGCCTAAGGACACAATGGCAGTTGAGCACTTTACAGCCGCCCCAATTTGGCATCAGGTGTTCCCAGAGGTTAAGAGTCTTGCCAAGGACACAACGACAGCAGACAGTGGGAGTCGATGGTGAAAGTCTTGAGGTGGACTCGAACCCACGACCTTCTGCCTCAAAGGCCAATGCTCTACCAACTGAGCTACTGTCGCCCTAAAAAGATATATGTCTCGATTCACCAAGAAACCTAAGCATAAAATGGTCATTTCACTGCTGCATGATATGAGTGATAGCTCGGCAAACAACAAGGATTCCCCAGTGTGGTATCATCATTTTAGAATGATTGAAAAACAGAGCTGTATATATTCATATTATACTTTTAGCAGCATTGTGAATATTACCGTAACTGCATTTTAAATCTATGGTACCTAACTATCAAACCACAACAAAAAATGTATTCATGTATAAATCCATCTAGTTTCTCACTCTCCCTGTTTGACTTTATTGCTAGTTTTCATATGCCTGTAGTTTTGGCCTCTGTCCTTATTTAGATCAGATTTTTCATGCAGAAACGTGAAAAAGAGAGAACCAGCCTCACTCAGACAAACAGCTCTCAGCCCTACGCATTTAACAGTGACACAGGGAATGCATAAGATGAATGTGAAGGCATCATGTTGTGGTTTCAGTTGTTAAAAAAAAAATCTTCTGATGTGACAAACAGACGAAATAACAAATAAAACCAGTGTTCTTACTTTTCAGACAAACTTTAAAAAATGCCTTCACTCATGTATTTGCAGTGCCATCACGCTGGACAACACTCTGGTCATTCTGTCCACCGTGGCGCCGGATGCGGGCAGATATTACGCTCAGGCCGTGAACGACAAGAACGGGGAGAACAAAACCAGCCAGCCGGTCACGCTCACGGTGGAAAGTAAGATTCATTCAACTCTGCACAGTCACGAATGTTATAAATGTTTGCAACAACACAACAAGGCTCTGGAGGATAATCAGGCAGGAGGGCGTTTATCCAAAGGTAGGGTATCAGTCCAAGCAAAACAGCCCGACTACAGTTTGCAGGATATCGTAGTTGGGCAAATAGGTTAAAAGTCCATTAGGCCAATATGTGTCACTTTACTTGGATCATAATGACATTTTACACCATGAAAGTATCCATGGAAGGTAACATTTTCTTATTACATGTTCCTTGAAAAAATATTTTAGTAATGAGTTGAACAATTGTTAAGTAAGTAATCTGTATCTATATTGTGCCTTTGACAGACCAGAGGCATTATAATTATTGTGGACATTTGTCTCTCACTCCACATAGAGATGAAGCGGTGTCGCCTGTACACTGGCGAGGTAGTTGAAACTGGAGCACCCGGAGGAAACTGGAGCAGCTAAACGTTTTTCCAATGTGGTGTTATTACAAAAGGAAAATACGTTCTTAAATCTTGAAAGTATCTATGTACCTCTTTCCAGCCATGCTAATTAATCAAAATTAAAGCATGGTGTATCACAGTGAAAAAAATACTATTGCAATTTTAACAATTTGGCCCAGAATCAGAATTCCCTGGACTATAAAGGCAACATTTATGTAATTAAGCATTCATCTACACACAAACGACTGCAGAGGTGGTACTTATCTGCCACCGTGTCATTGTCTTCATTATTATATGGAAAATTTCAGACAACACAGCGTCTCCAGAGTCCTGCAAGTGGCCAGAATTTCACAAGTTAAAGCAACATCATTCTGAACGTCCAAGTCTATCATATGTGACGTAGTTTGTGTAAGACAAGAATTTGACAAACGTTTTTTGAAGTTAAAAAGAATTCTACCAAAATAAGCAAACCACAGCCGGTCAAATTATTACAGCCAATTAATGGATGGTCCCACAAACTATGACAATATTGGACATCACTGTGAACTGCACAGCTTTGATGCAAGATCAAAACATTATGTTTGTGTCTATCTGCTGATTGAGACATTGAACGCTGCTTCCTGTGGATAAATGCAGAAATTCAGAATTAATATTGATGTATTTATATGTATGTTTTATTCGAGATAACTGGGATAAAAAGCTAAAGGCATCATTTGGATCTCTCTTTTAAATTAGCTGATGGACGTTTTGTACTGAATGGAAGCAAGGCTTGATTGATCATGTGCAACAACAAAAAAGACCATATTATGCAGAATTATTTTGTGTGAAATAGTAGTGGCTTAAAGGGGCCCTATGCAACTTTTAATGTGTAAAAATAAGTGTGTATATTTGTGTATTTGACCTTGTAGTACCCCAACGGCTGTAGAAGTGGTGCTTAACTTTTGATCGGGATTGTGTTTACAGCAATAGGATCAATTGTTTTGTAGGTTTTCTCGTTCAGGGATCCGTCAGCAGAGAAAAGTATACAAACAGTTGATCCTATTGCATCAAACAGGCCGTTGTGATGGAAAGCCAATGCGCCATGCTGACCCCTCATATAGCTGCAAGGTCGAATATGCAAAAAACTGTTTTTCACATTAAAAGTTAAAACAATTCACTTTTAATAACAGAGTAGAAGCCGAATGTCCTTAGTGCTCGACAAAGACTGAATCAAAAACATGGCTTTCCTCCTCAGGACTCTGAACATAAACTGCCTTTTGTTTGTGCCTTTTGCTCTGGCAAAGTCACAGAGGAGGAGAACGTCCCTCAGTGCAGCCTGGATTTAGTGTTTGAAGAAAACTAAAAATGTAGTTTTGAAAGTGTACTGACCTCATCATTTAGCATCACAACACAGTCCTTGTCAAAGTCACTTAAATTATTTTTCTTTCTACTGAAAACATTTCCTCAAGGACAAAATGTTCCTTAATTTGTCCAAACTGCTGACAGGTACCCTGGAAACAACGCCGTTCAATGAGTTGGTTTACTTTTCTGTCAAAACATAACAACGGTTTGTGTAACTCATATTCTTGTCAATAATGTGAATATGATTTACTCCTATTCATTATTTATATCTATTTTTCAAGGACTCTAACCTGTATTTTTGGAGTTCCCAGATAGATTTCTCCTTTCATTGGATAATTGAATTTAGGTTTTTTGTATTGATAATTGAATTCAAGGAAGGACACATCCATTCACTTAAGACTGGCCGACTGCAGATAACCATGAATAATCTAGTTCGGATTCTTTTTACCGATTTAGTTTCGTTTTTATGTATCATTAACTATTTCTCCAGATGTCTTTGACGGAGGAAATCAGCAAATATTCATAGTCACTATAGTCAATTTCATGCTAACGTAGGCAGCCTGGGGAATGGAGAAAGGGATTTGTTTTTTGGATTTTTTGGCTTTAGTGTCATTAAATGTTCCGTTCACCTTATGATTATTATTACCAATTATCACTATAGATTCTTATTCACCAACACTATGTTTATTGGTAGCAACGTATTGTGTTAAGCAAGCAGAGTAATACAAACCCAAAAAAGCAGTCTGATCCCTCACACATTAGATACAGTAGATGTGGCCGATGTGTCTTGCCCAAGGACACAATGTTTTTCACTTTAGAGCCACAACCGTGATTATGATGATATATTATATGATTTTAATATCCTTCTTTTCTCTTTGAATTGCCATGTAAAATACTATACTATACAGATAAACTGTCATTTCCGGAGCGATAACTTGATATAGAAGTCAGCCATTATAGTTGCATTTATACCAGTGATAATAATATAATGAAAGGGTTAAATTACTGGATTAAACAAAATATTGCTCTCATTTTTTAATACTTTGCTCTAAGTCTGGATTTGCGGTTCATGAAAGAAATCATTTTTTTCTCTGTTATTAGAAGATTTATGTTATTTTGTGCAGTCATGCCTTGGGACTAACAGAAACGAACAGAAAATGTCTCTCCTTGTTACTATTCAAACAGAGTTCCACCTCCTCTCATGTGCCGCTGCATATTTGTAATTTCTAATATAGGCTTCTTAACCGGTGAAGGCATCTGCTCATCATATTGTTAATGCACTGTTTGTAATTCAGCAGTCAATACACACTAGGAGGATTCTGAAATCACCCAATAAGACTGGATCTAACCTGGCATATCGCGTTGGCATCTTTTCCCATCTGCGAATCTTTCTTTTTTCCTTTTTTTTTCACGGTTACATTTGTTCATTTTAGCATTTCTGTTCAAACAGGACACACGAAATATGAATCAGAGTAAGCGGATCCACTGGGAGCATACCAATGAGTCTGGACTGGAGATAGATTTTAAGAAACTGGCTTTTTAGACCAGAGGGTTGTGTTGTTGTGGTGAATCCCTGTTTAACGGTAGACAGCGTGACACTATGACGGCATTCAAATTGGCAACTTACCATTCAAGTCAACGCCTTGTTTACTTTCCCCATTTCATTAGTAGATTACACAGTTGAGGCTTTCTGCATTGAGACGTTATGAGCTGAAATTCATTCATTAGTGCTGCAGAGGAGCCAATATTATCAATCGGGAAACAAAAGTCAGAAGTGTCCTATTTTTGTGAACAAGGCAAACATACTAGACAAGTGTCTGCAGCCAAATATTGTGATGTTGATCATTCATAAAACCTACTGCAAGATTGTTATGAATATTCATGTTTTATTAGTGTCTGCTGCCAAATGGTTTTCACAGGTCTTTAATCTCCCGGTTCTTGTTAGTGGCTCGTTATTGAATGTTGCCTTTTTCTATCTAGATATCATTTGCTGACTCTTCTGTCTCTCTACTCTACTTTACATCCATAAATGTGACGTTCCTGGTGCCAGCCAACTGCTTCTCTCTGTGGAAATGTTATTGTTTTGCCTGGAATGTTCCTGCACAATATCTGACATTAGTCTGTATCACCATAGGGACAGTACTGTCTGTTAAACACAATGACACTTGTGGTTCATTGTTGTCTATAAGTACATTTGATATCTTATTAATGACTTAAAATAAGAACAATGTTATCAAAGAACAGTAAGACAGATGGAGGGGGGAAGTGGGAGCAAGAAGTGGAATCAATCCCGGCCCCTAGGAGGCGGGGAGACTTTTTTGCATTCTGATGTGAAGTTACGACTGCGGAAGCGGGAATACACGGGGAAACCCTGTGCTTTCTTAGAGAGAAAAACAGCTTCAGAGCCTGGTTCAAAACATAGCGTGGCCATTCTGAGGGGAGTGAATCTTTTCGAACCAGGTCTGTTTGGCTAACCTGGCACCGCAAGATGAATTCTGATAATCAACATTTTAAAATCATGTTTATCTAGCTCGTCAGGCTACTGATCAGACTACTGACCAGCTGCGGTGTATATTTATATTTTTTGGAAACTGCCGCCATTTTGTGCGGGCGCCAATCCGGCAACGGTTCCAAACGTCCGTCATCACTGCACTATTTGCACTACTTAACTCCTGTACATGGAGCTAAAAGACTTTTGTCAGTTTTCCTGTGGAAGGGGCCAGCTCCATGAAGCAGAGTCCATCACTTTGAATGGAGAAGCCACAAGCAGTCCATTATATTTTCTGGCTATATTTGTGGCAGATGGATCTTTGCCGCAGATAAAGTTAGCAATCTACTGATTTTATCCCCTTTAAGTATAAACTAACTAACCAACTAGTTCCTCTCTCTCAAATGTGTTTGGTTCTATGAATTGTTTTGAAATGTATGTATGCATGCATTTAACCCTGTTACATCTTTAGACCTAGTTTTCAAACAGAAAAGAGCTGTTTATTATTAGAATAATATTTTCTTTCTCAAATAGTTCATTGCAAAGACGACGACAATTTTACATTTTGCAATGTACTCTTGCAAGACTTTTTCAGTTGGGACAAACAACATTTAACATTCATGAAAAAGTTAAGTTTCTCCCAGATTTAGGAGAATACAAATGACTCAAACATTCACTCAAGAAACAACTGTGAGTGTGCAAATGACAAGGGAGACGACTACAACATTGTGAAAGGCTTTGAAAAGTCGATAGTGCGTATTATGTCCTCATGAATGTGTGACTGTGGAATACTCCAAGCATTCCCATTCTCCCAAAAATGTGCAAGTTAGATAACGACCATATACTCTGAAAACTCACTTCAGTTTTTACCTCACACTGAGTTATTTTAATAGATTTTCTGGGAATGGATGGAAATACACCATTAATTTGCCCCCACAGTGATAAGTAATAACGTAAAGATCACTTATGTGCAGCAGCCACAGTCAAAGTGATCGCCTGGGAGTCTTATTGACAGCTGGTAATGCACCTTTTCATAGATTCACAATTGATTGGTGCAAATTCAAAACTAATCAATTCGTCTTGATGTTCCCTCTGCAAATGCACTCATAGGACTCTAGACGCATATGAATTAAGATGGAACAAATGTGTCGCTAATGTGATACAAACTGTGGCCATTGTCTTGTATTTTCTGGAATACAGTTCTCTATAGTCAGGGTGAGACTGTCATGATCTTAAAGCTGAGGTGCCTAGCTTTTTAAAATAAATAATCCATCTTGTTTGTTCCAACAGAAAGACACTTGAAATAGTACAACGTAAACCAGGGGTCTCCAACTACCAGTATCTGTGTTCCTTGTTTTGTCATAATTAAGTAGCTCTCTTATGTTGTAAAAAAAAGTATCTCTCCGATTGAAAAAGGTTGGAGACTCCTGACGTAAACCATTGGCTGTGTAAAGGCGCACCTCTCTTTCTCATGCTTTTGTCAAGCTTCTGAAAATCTGATCTAAAGTTAAAGAGATCCTTTATGCATTCAACAGTGGGGACATTTCAGTGTTGCATCACCAATTACAGAACAGTAGGAATGAGTAGCACACAGCACAAGATAAAAAAACAATAAAATACAATATCTAACTCTAGCATCAAAAAGAAACAGGTTCAAATTCTCTATCTTTAGCATAGTGAGTAAAAAAGTAGTATTCGAACCAGACAGTTTTCAGAGTGAGAATCTGCTTTAGTTGTATCTGCTTAGTCAGGGTTCGAGGTTTGAAAGTTAAAGCTCGAGTACCTAACTTTAACTATTAGAGCTTATATGGCTCGGAAAACTATTTGGTCCTATCACAAGTTTCTACATACATATGGTTTGTCCTCTGTCACTTTTTCAGTGAGAAAGAGAGGCCCACCCTCACTCAGCCAATCAGCTCTCAGTATGCAAAAGATACAACACTTCTAAAAAGATAAAGACATCATGCTAAGGTTTGATTTCACCAAATGTAACTATTGGGACAAACAACATGTATTTATGAAACCAAAAAAGTTTGGTAGTCTAGCTTTAAAGTATTCCCATGTATTGTTATTAAATCCTTTTCAACTCAATTCAGTTCGATTCACATATGTAGGGGAAAACACATAATCAATGAAGAGAGCTGATCGACTATTCCGAGCAGGTCCAGACGTAACCCATGTCTTTGCGACGCTGTCACTGCGGGTTTTGAAAGACTGGGATGTCAAACAAGGTTGCCGCTGGACAACGAAAAACAAATAGGAAGAAATTGATTAGGTATCCCTTTAACCAAGTGTGTCCACGCACCCAAACTGCAGCTGCTTGTACGTTACGAGAGGGCTTAAAACAAATAGGCGACAGTGGCACGTGCGGCACACTGTTAGCCGCGCAATCACTCAAACACGGTGCGACGCGAGGCCTTAGAGGAGGGAATGAGATCAGATTCAGAGAGAGATCACTGATTGAGGGCAGTGAATCGATGGCTGGCTGGAGGCTCAGTGAAACCCGTGAGTGATGGTGCTGCATTTAATCGCCTTTTGTGTTTGTCTCAATTATGCTACATAATGGCTTCTAACACCTGGACTAACGGCACAGCGCGGGAAATGCAGTGCACCGCAGTGGGGCGGGAAAGCAAAGACAGGGGTGTTAATAGTTGGGTGATAGCTCCCTGCTGCTGACCGGGACAGGCTGTCATTCTCGCTGCTTGCGTCGGGTAAACGCTCAATCTGATGTCACTTTACAGCATAGTCACTTTCCTTTTCTTCTAAATGGATCCTGTTTTTCTGTTCTGAGCTCATTGTTGCGATGAAAATGAATAATTTATGTGTTGTGGTATTTTTTTCAACCGTGGAAAATCACATTTTGTTTCCCAAATCTGCAGCACTCTGGCTAAACTTGGCGCTGTGCAGTAGTTAAGCATTGTGAATATATTACTTATTTAACAATAAGGGAATTATGCATTGTGGGTTGATGTAATTTGGCAACATCTATGTGCCAGATGCTTGTCTTAATGCAGAAATTATTCAGTCTATTCTCTGGTTTTTCGCAACCATTTTCAGCCAACAATTTCCACACAAAAAGTCTGAGGTACAATATGACTTATGAAATGATGTATTTTTCTTTGCAGATGTGGGAGGACCGGCAGACCCTATAGCCCCTTCTATCATCATCTCACCAAAGAACACCAGTGTGACTGTGGGGAGAAATGAAGCTGTCATGGAGTGTGTTGCCAATGCAAGGTACAAATAGTTCCTCTGGGAAATGTGCTGGTTTTACCCAGAGATGCCCACCTCCTCTCACTTCCACATGCTGTTTTGTGATGCAGATGAGTCCTGAAATCTTTTGTTTGAACATGATAGAAAAATGTTTTGTACATCTCTCATTTGTACCTCTCCACTATTATTTCCCTTTGATTCGTGACTCTGTGTGTTACCGCTATCTCACGCAATCCCACTTCTGAATTTGGACTATTATCTGCGATTCAAAGACCTCATCAGAATGGCAGATGTATCCCTGTTGCTTGGCTAGGCACTGCGTAACCTTGAAACAGAATATGAATTTCTATTAAACGCACGTTCTCGCACCTTCTGCTCTTTTGTGTCTGATTTTTTTAGGCCTCTTGTCAAAATGAGTATCACTTGGAGGAAGGATGGCGTAACGATCAACACCGGAATCCGGGATTTTGGCCGCAGACTGGTCATCAGCTTGCCTGCAGTTAGCGATAGTGGCTACTACGAGTGCGAGGCGTCACTCAAGAGCAGCAGTGTGCCCTCCGTCACTGCTGGAGCTTATCTGCGTGTTCTCGGTAAAGCTCGCCTTTTTTTCCCACACACTGAAACTAAATTATCAAAATGTTACATCAGCAATCTGGCACCCACATCGGCAAAAAAGCCATTTCATATTTCAGTAATTGAGTTGATGTTTTTTATCCAAAGTGCTGCGTGCTAGTTCGACAAATAGGGGTCAAGATGAAAAGTGCTATGATTTATGTGTCAGTGTTTGTGAAAGCTTTTATGGCTCTTTTTGGCAACAGAATACCCGCTCTTTGTGAAGGAGCCACCCAGTCATATCAGTGCAGAGATGGAGAAGGTGGTGGACATCCCCTGTCAGGCACGTGGTATGTCAAAGAAAAATAAAAAAAATAGCATGGAAATGAACTGAAAAAGCACAGAGAAACTGCATGACAAAACTCTCCTTTTGTTTACCCATCAGGAACGCCTCAGCCTGACATAGTGTGGTACAAAGATGCCGTGCTTATCAGCCCGGTGAAAATCCCCCGCTACAAGGTTCTGGGAGGAGGCAGTCTCCAGATCAACGGGCTCCTACCAGACGACACAGGGATGTTCCAGTGCTTTGCCCGCAATCGAGCTGGAGAGATACAGACCAACACCTATCTCGCTGTTACAAGTATGTCCCTCTCTTCTCCAAGCGACTTCCCAAATCCTGCCTTCTAATCCTCTTTTCTCCCATGTTTCCCCCTCCCACATCCATTTATCTATATATCTTTGCTCTGCCACATATGTCACCTCGGTAGCTCTGGCAATTATTGGCTACTTTTGAATCAGGGAAAGTGCAGGGAGAGGAAGATGGAGATGTCCTGTCACTGCTGTCTGCTGCAACCAGACCTGACAAGCAGCCCTTTTGTCTAGTCTATTAGGCTCTGTACTCCCGGCTGCTTTATTAGTCTCAAAGCTGTTTATGTGTCTCATTATCGCCCCGCTCTTATGGCTTTTATGTGTGTTTTGCGTGTGTGTGAACGCAGGCATCGCCCCTAACATCACCGCCGGACCCGTTGACAGCGCGGTGATTGACGGCATGTCTGTCATTCTGCACTGCGAGACCTCGGGAGCGCCGCGACCAGCCATCACCTGGCAGAAAGGTGCGTAGGCAAGCAGCACAAGGCTTCCCAGTCTGTTCATTATGCCACATATGGACGTGTCAAACTTAGAGCGGTAGAATGTATCAATACCATTTTCTTCTCAGACACTTTTTTCTTATTTTCTAAAGCTGTTTCCTTGTCGGTTTGTTTTTAACGGTTTGACACTTCTTCAATGCTCTAATCTCTTCTTTTTCCATTTTGCTTATTTTTTTCCAACCTGAACCATCCATCACTGGTACCCTTCCCCGCAGGTGAACGTGTCTTGGCCAGTGGTTCGGTCCAGCTGCCCCGGTTCACGCTGTTGGAGTCCGGCAGCCTGCTAATTAGTCCCTCCCACCTGTCTGATGCTGGAACCTACACCTGCATGGCCAGCAACTCCAGGGGCATCGACGAGGCTTCAGCTGACCTCCTGGTCTGGGGTAAGAAAAATACTCTGCACTGACTTTTCTGTAACAAACTTGGAACACGTGCACAATGCACTGCTTCAACTTATAGTGAATGTGTTCTGTCTTGTGGGAAATAGTTTAGCAATTATCTGATTGTAGTGATATTTAGTGAGATTTTTGTCACTGTGTAATACATAGTCCTATTTTGTGACTATTTTTGGTGCTGGGTTAAAGAGCTACATAAGTATATTTAAAGTTTTATCAGGCTATGACAAATGTTCCTTTCTAATTATTTGCTTAACTGTGGGGTGGCAGGATATTGGGAAAAATGGCTATTTGTAGCAATTGGAAATTACATTATAAAGGTGCAACACACATTTTCTCTGGGAGAATGTGCTTTGCCCAGTACGTTTCATATTATAGCTTCAAACATATATGTTCTCAAGACAACAGTGATACGCTATAAAAACACCTGTTGTGGAAGTGCAATAGTTTGCCATTGTTTGTTCAGAGGAAGCATTAACACCATAAAGATTATCAAGTGTTGGATCCTCCACGGGAAAACCTTTCCATTGAAGTCCCACAAACATGTTGGCTCTATAATGGAGGTCAATACCAAAACAAGGGCTCAGGCTTATTTCTGAGATGCACTTACTAAATCATATATGTGGCTTAAACTATATTGAGCATCTTTTCAAATCAGCATGCCCTGACACATGTGTAAAAAATAGAACAGAGCACATCATTCTTGATTTAATCTCTGACTTGTTTACCGAAATGCAAGCAAATAAATGATTTACCAGGTCAATGTGGAAATATCTTGACTCATACACACTTGTACTCCATCTTGTCTGCGGATGCACATTAGCTGTTGGAAAATATGTCACTCATCAAAATACGGTGTGAATCATCCGTCATTTTGAGACAGCACTGAGCGAAGGCTGAGGCAAGACTTCTACTGGCATCATCTCAATCCTCTGTTCAAACACGCTCTGTATGTGTCTGCAGCACGTACACGCATCACCAAAGTCCCACAGGACCAGAGTGTCATCAAAGGGACCAAGGCCGTAATGACTTGTGGTGTGACCCATGACCCCAGCGTCACGGTCAGGTAAGCTCTCCACTCCTGCTCTACACATCTCCCCTGCGCTGGGAAATAAATTGGCTTTGGTTGGCTATTAATTACCCTTCCGGGGTAATGTGACTGCTGTGTGTGTGTGTGTGTGTGTGTGTGTGTGTGTGTGTGTGTGTGTGTGTGTGTGTGTGTGTGTGTGTGTGTGTGTGTGTGTGTGTGTGTGTGTGTGTGTGTGTGTGTGTGTGTGTGTGTGTGTGTGTGTGTGTGTGTGTGTGTGTGTGTGTGTGTATTACTTCATCTTCAAACTTGTGTACACATTGAACAAAATCAAATAGGGCACAAAATACACAGAAAAGGAGTTGGATAAAGCTATGACCCCAATTTGTGTGGTAGAAAGAAACCAAACCATTATTATTTTTGGGATGATCCAATGCCTTGGCGGGGGTATGCACACTCCAATTGCATGTTCTGGTTGTATTATGGAAATGTAAGACTTTTTCTTTAACGCACGTATTTATATGCCTTTGTATATGATGTGTTTCGACCCGTTCACACATTAAACATTATTTGCACACTCCAGTTGACCAGTAGTAAAACAGCATTGTGGACTTCTGTTTAAACTGTCATATTTACCATGGGTTTTGTTCAGAGGAATCTAAATAATCATTACAGACATCAGCCATGAAAACAAAACATTTGTTCTCGTATTCAAAATTAAATGGTTTTCCGCCCTCTGTATTGTTGCGCGGTTGCCACATAATTTGCTTCAGAGCGGTCAGCCGGATTTTAGTGATTGTTTGAAACTCCTTCTCATCTTTCATCTCTGCTTGTTTACTTTTTCTCCTCTATTCCATGATCGCCATTGTAAACCGCATGGCCTCTGTGTTGGGTAATTGGCACAACATGTTCTCTGGTGCCCCTCGTGTGGCTGGATTTATACATTGAAGTCATCAAAGGGAATATTTTGTTATGCAAGCAGTTTCTTTGGGAATTAACATTGTACTCAATTAGTTTATGAAATCTTTGACTGATCTTGTCAAGTTTATCCACCCCCGGATGAGCTCCTGCGGGATAGGTCTTGAAACTCTCTAGTCAGATTGAAGAATTAGTCCATCACGTTTGCCGCGCGGCCTGTCAGCCTGACGCGTGATAGAGAGTGTGCACATGGAACCCGCCATGATTGGAGTGTCTGTCACCTGTGGGCCCAGGGCATTGATCAGATCTCGGGGTAAACAGATGAATATGTAATAACTTGGCTCTTTAATTAAAGGCAGCACAGAGGAGATTATCTGGAGAGCCTGAACACTTGCAATTAATCACAACTGTTCCTAGTGTGTGCATATGTGCGCACCAGAACGTGTTGCGTGGCCATATGTGCCTCCGGTTATGTGACTGGCAAACAAAATGCATATATGCGACGTCGCTCGGCTCTGTATTTGTGACAGAGAGAGATGTTTTTCAGATTTAAATCACTTCGCCATCAGCTCGCAAAGCTTTCATCTGTGTCAGCGCCTTCTGTGTTTCGCTCTATGAATTGATGCAAAGCAAATGTCTGACTGTCACAACACTTTCTGCAGACTGAGTGCTAAAGACTGAGGCCTCTGTGAACTGCTCTCACATGTAAGCCGTGTGTGTTTCCACCTGTAGGCATGTGTGGGAGAAGAGTGGCGCGCTGATTGATGTGAACACGTCCCCGCGCCTGAGGCTGGACCCCGATGGGACCCTGCACATCTCCCAGACGTGGTCGGGCGACATCGGGACCTACACCTGTCGCGTGACATCAGTGGGGGGCAATGACTCCCGCAGCGCGCACCTCCGAGTCAGGTCTGTGTGCAACTCTGGTTTTACATGCACCGCACAGCACGCGCACTGCTCTTATTTATTCTAAGCAGCATTCGCAAGAAAGAGAAAAAATGGCCCAAACATTGTTGATCTATTAGGAGGAAGGAAACAACAATACAAAAGACCAAAAAGAAGACATAAGAAAACAGATATTCCCTTACTACGATTCATTTTTTACTATACCACAAATAATAACTATAAAATCAATCCAACTACTTCCTCTCTAAACAGTTGATGTTGGGGATCTGCCATTGACCTTTGCAGATGTCAATAATGGTCTCCCAATAAGTTCAAGAACCTGAAATCGATACAGAACTTGATCGCCCCAATCTCTTTAGGAACCAGCACCCCAGGGTTACACCATTCACTTTTGGATGGCTGAATGATTCCCAAGGATAGCCTCTGTCAAATGTGACATGTAAATTTCTCCTGTGTGAGATCAATAAAGTCTATCTTATCTTATCTTGATCCGTTCACCCATGAGATACCCACTGTTTTTATTTCCATAACAGATCTGTCATAGCAGGACATTGTGTTTCCATAGAAGTACTGTATGCGGCTATTTGTATGACTACTTTGTTCTGACCTCTGTGTCTTCTTCTCACACACATGTTTATTTGTGTTCAGGCAATTGCCCCATGCTCCAGAAAACCCAATAGCTGTTCTGAGCAGCGCCGAGAAAAGGGCCATCAATCTAACCTGGGCCCAGGCTTTTGATGGGAACAGCCCCCTGATCCGCTACATCCTGGAGGTGTCAGAAAACAGTGAGTGCTATTGCTAACCCATGTGCTCATGCATACAGGCACATTTATTTTTTTGCCCAATTGCTAATCATAACTAAATATTCTTGCAAAGATTTTGGTTGAATCCAATTACACCATCATTTTCCATTTGTACTTTCTCATCTCCTTATTTTTGCCATTTTTATTAGCACCATTGGAACCTTGCAAATGAGCTTGTGTTTTTGTTTTTCATTTTGTTGACATGCCTTAGCCCTATCTATGTTTATTGATAAGAAGTGCTATTTTTGCAGAGATTGTTGTTTGCCATTAGTTGTTAAACCCTGGCTTACTGCAAAGTGGACAAATCATTAAGAGAAAAATGAATCTTTGGTTGCGGATAGGATCTGCTTAATGCGTAATTGAATTTCTATCTGATATCGGAAGGGATGTGTATACAAAAATAAATTGCTTGTTTTTTTATCAGCAGACACCATTTTATTATTCAGAATAAAACTATGGGAGACGGTAATAGCGAGAAGTTTGCTGATAAGTGATTCTCGAAGCGTGCAAATTGCCTTGTCAAGGTCACACAACATATATGCAAACCCTCTCAGCTGTGCGCCTTCTCTGTCTGTGCAAGATGCCCCGTGGACCGTGCTGTTGGCGAGCATTGAACCTGAGTCTACCGGCGTGACAGTGGGCGGCCTCATTCCCGCTCGGTCTTACCAGTTTCGACTTTGTGCTGTCAACGATGTGGGCAGAGGCCAGTTCAGCAAAGAAACTGACCGGTGGGTATATGCTGTATTTTTTAAATAACGGTAAATGTAAGAAGTTTGTTTGGCCACTATCTCAGGCCATGAGGGCAGTGATCTACTTTTACAGTTCTGGAAACAATTCACTGCTCCCTCCTCTACAGCCAGTTCAATTGAAAAAAATATCAAGCTTATTTCCTGTAAGTCCACTTTTTGGTCGTTACCCCTGTGAGCGAGTGAGAGAGCGGACTCTGTGCCTTTTCAAGATAAAACTGAGAATGAGCTGAAATTGCACTTTGTGGAGACTTGATGGCTGTCTGATCCAGCTCCTATTAACGGGCTGTTGTGTTCCATGCTCGAACAGGCTTGAAAGAATCTGTGCTACTCGCAGTCTCAAATCTCCAATGAATTGTCTGACTCTGGAGCAAAGACGATCCGTCATTCAGAGCCAGGCCACACGCGCTCATGTGCATACGCGGCTGCTCTCCAGTGAGCGCCGTTGTCCGACCTTGTCTGCATCAACACAGGCCTCTGCACCTGCCGCACAGATCTGAATGGCCAGCTGTCCCCATTGCAGCGCACATATTGCTCTGAGCTTAACTCCAGTGTGAATGCACCGAGACAAGTGTGCATCACAGGAGGGTGACGGAGCATCGCTGAGAGTGCAAGACTTTTCTTCAGCATCTCTCCAGTACTTTTCTTTGATCCTAAACACTCTGCTTTATCTCCTCCAGAGCAGTGCTTCGGTGCACTGGGAAGAAATCAAGATGTCATCTTAAATTGACTGAAGGGGAAAAGTCGGCCAGGATCTTTCTTTCTTGTTCTTTTATATCTTTTTGCCTCACGACTGGTCTGCTCCGTTTCACCAGGGCATCTTTGATCCTGTATGTCCCTCTGTGGATATTTTCATGGGGAATGCATGGTGGACCAGAAAGGCCCTGCTCATTCCCAAACAGAGTTAAAGAATAAGACTGGATTTATTTGGATTTGACATATATGATGAAATTGGGCTGAAATATGCAGAAATGTATGATAATTAATGCATGAGCCTTTGTTTCTTTCTCTACTTCAGACTAACTTTGCCAGAGGAACCTCCCAGTTCTCCCCCGCAGACCGTCATGGCGAGCGGCCGCACAAATCAGTCCATCCTGATCCAATGGCAGCCTCCCCCAGAGAGCCACCAGAACGGCCCTCTGCAGGGCTACATCATCAGGTAGTCATCAGGGCTCACATCAAGTGTGCGCCCGACTGTCGGCTCCCATTCAAATGTGATAATGACTGTTATGGCAGAGCCAGTCCTCATGCTCCTTTCACTTCATTTTCAGCACAATGCAATAATTGGTGACAATTAAATGCCTTCCTCTCTGCTCATCTTTTGTCACTGTGCTTTCAGAGCTATGTCGCATTCTAAATGTTTGAATTCATTAGCTATTAATTAGATTTATAATTTGTACATTTATTTAAATAATTAGTGTTGGGTAAATTATTGTTTCTTGCCAGGTATTGTTTGTCGGGGCTTCCGGTGGATTGCCAAAAGAAGAATATAACAAACCCAGACCAGAGCAGCCTGCTCCTGGAGGACCTCATCATTTGGACAAACTATGAGATAGAAGTGGCAGCTTATAACGGAGCGGGCATCGGGACGTACAGCCACAAAGTCACCGAGTGGACCCTACAAGGAGGTAAGGAGCAATTCATTTACGTCCCACATTTTTATTCAAAGCACTTCTCTGCCTCCTTTATTTTCTAACTGTAATTATGAAAATAACATCATATTATGTTGATGATGATGATAAAGTAGATAATCATGAATTATCTGCGTGTTTATGGTTTCTTTGTTCAGTCAAGTCGTTAAGATAAATGTTACATAGAATACTGATAGAAGTGCATCCGTTTTTTCAAATTATTAATGATCACATGATATATTTGGAGACTGGAGTTACATCTATATCAATCCCAAATGAAATTGTGTGTCTATGGCTCACACCATCATGTGATGGTTCTTCTCTTCTCTTTGTTGTAATATTTATATAAGACACTTTTCTAAATGTATAGCACGTCTTCTAAACCCGATGTAAATGAGCTGAAATGAGAGCTGAGCAGATGACGGTGGTCGATGGTGGAGCGCTTGGCAAAACTCATGTGCGTCATTTCTGTAATAGTGTGTTTGTTGTTTGGTTTTTGTTCAATATTTTAACTTGAAATCACACTTTTTTTCTTATGAGTAGAATAACTATAAATACGGCTTTCATGAAATGCCTTGAACTGAGAAAGCCATAAATATTTTAAATGAACATTGGACTGAAAAACATCTTACTCATCTTAATCATATCAACATAAAGTTTGAAGAGTTTCTTTAACTCTTCTCGAATCGACTTTTGAAAATACATTACAGACACATGAAAACATTATATTCATTTAAGTTAACCAACGCATATCTTAATTTAGTCTAAGTATTCCACAATAGTTGATTATTCTATACGACTGTGCATGTGTGTGTGTGTGTGTGTGTGTGCGCTCATATGCATTTTTTTATTTTCAAAGGTGTGCGTGTGTGTGTGCGTGTCTCTGTGCGTGTGTGTATCAAAGGTGTAATGTTGGCCTATTGGAAATGTTCACCTCTCTAATCCACGCCGTCTTGAATCTTTGGATCAATTCTGCAGCTGTTCTTAGATGTTCTTGTCTCTTCTCTTTTTGGAGAGCTTTGGAGAAAATCCACTGAGAAAAAATCCGCATGTTTGATCTTTACATTATGTATAGGTACGATGAGAAATTATTTATTAAGTTGCTTCATATTCGCTTCAATTCCATCGTAGTATTTTTGTACAGTATGCGCTTTTCTGTTCCCGTAAACCAGGGCCCACTTTAGTTTCCCGGACATGTGCAGGAGTATGATCTTGATTCACACCACCGCTACATTTGCTCTTTGCGTTTGTGACACAAAGTTTGATTGAATACTTTATTTTGAGCCAAACAAAACGCAAAATACAGAAAGCGCTGCACCCACGCATGGGCAACAACTGAAGGACAAAACAAAACAAAGAGGTACAGGGAGGATCTGTACAACATATATATTTTGGCTCAAAAAGGAGTGGGAAGAAGAAGACTTATGTGATCCCACCCCTTCAGATTTAGATTCATTTATTTGCCATTTGCAGTAAAACCACATTGGAAAAACTGTGCAAGACTACCCCAGTGTGCACCTTCTTCCGACATTGCATTACAATCAAAACAAATGTCAGCATATACAAGTAAAGTTAACGACTGAATTGCTAAGGCCGGCTTTCTAAACATTGTAAAGCGCTTTTGGGTGAGCTTGGTCTGTAAAATGTCTGTATAAATAATCATTACTCACATACATACTATGGTTTTGGGATTTTACCACGAGGCATAGCATGACTGTATGGGTGGTGGCTTAAGTTGGCTGGATGACACTATGAAAATACCTCAAGGCTACAGTATGGGCCACATGACACAGCAGGCGCTCCTCAGTTTCCCAAATGCATATCCTTTGATGTGGATATTAGCTTTTTACATTTCTCCAAAGACAGTAGCCTCTGAAGGGTCATCCGTTACTGTAATGTGTTTTATATTCAGGCGCTGAGATATTCATATGGAAAGTGAATTTACGTTTTGAGCAAGGGCGAAGGAGCATTGTTCTTCATGTGGATGTTACTTTTTTATTTGAATGAACCTCAGTGTGAAATGACTTTTACATTATTTAATAGAGATGCACCAATCCTGTCATGAAAAGGAATGAAAAAGGAACCAAAAATGCTAATAAAAGTGTAATGAAAACTAAATCCAGGGTAAAATTAAGCTAAGATTATCAGCGGTGATACACTCAGGCAGACACAGGTGAATCACTTTAGGGCGGGGCAAACAAATAAACAGGAAGTAGAGCTCAAAAAGATAACAAATAATACACAAAATGAATAAAGTTGAAACTAAATAAATTAAAAAAATCCACACCTTGAGATGTCCAGCTATTTTATGTCCGAAATCAATCTTGATATAAAAAAAGGACATGTTTTGTAAATGTCCCAAAACGTATCCAATTGTGTTTAACTATTATCCTTCAAGTGACTACAGGCACGGTGGCTGAGTGGTCGGAAATCGGAAAAGGGCCTTTCTGAGTGGAGTTTGCATGTTCTCCCCGTGTCTGCGTAGGTTTCCTCCGGGTGCTCCGGTTTCCCCTACCTCTAAAAACATGCACAATAGGTATGAATGTAAATGAGTGAGTGAATGGATGGTGTTGATTGGGAGCTTTGATGCACCAGTGTGTTCGGCGACCCGCTTCCGTCATCACCGTGTGTGGAATGATTGGAACAATATCTGAACTCTGAACATTGTAAAGCGCTTTGGGTGACCTTGGTCTGTAAAATGCGCTATATAAATAAACATTACTTACTTACTTACTTACTACAGCACAACTTTATTTGAAAGAGTTCAAACTTACATTCTGAGTTAATATCAGTAAATACAGTTTTATTAGATCACTTAACCGGTATCATTACACCTACATCCAGTCCGACAATATTCAGTCTATGATTCACGCAGATATCCGCCAGTATTGTTACTACAACCTAACATTAATTTGCACATATTGTTACTTCACAACAACATGAATTTGTATACTAGGTCGACTCTCCTCTGAGCAAAAACACAGTTCAACCTCCGATCACTTCAATACCCTTCTGTGAACATTTTAAGGCATTTAGATGGTCTTGAACAAAACCCGGACTCTGCACCGTGTAAATTGTTTAACACATCTTTAACTATTGAAGGTCTCTGAACAAAGCTTGAACTGAAGCTTATTCAACTTATTGACCTTAGAATACCTGTCTCTCCTAAAACTTACAAAACTTACAGTATTTCTGCAGCACTGTCGAGGGAAAATATTTAACTGTGACATTTGTTATTTATTTCCTTTCTGCTAAAAAATGATCAAATTTCATCATCCATACGATAACGGCGGTTAACAAGGCGTGTGAGTTGTTTAGTGGCTGCGCTTGTTAATTGGATGAGGCTGTCTGGTTATTAAAAAGTGCAGATCGAGCCGTGCATTCACAAACTACTTCGAGCGAACAGCGGGTTTGGAGTGGCCGATGAGCGTCATTACTCTGTCGGTTTTGCGCTCTTACATCAGGATCCCTCGCTCGGTTCAAAGACAGCGCTGCGGGGTTTACCTGGAAGCCGCCTGAGGCAACCGCTCACACACCCCGTCTGATTGGCAGCTGTGTGTTTCCCCAAATGAGCCCAAATGCAGCGAGCCCCCTCCCCGAACCGGCTCTGCGACTTCGGCTGAATGCCTCGTTTTCGATTTTTAAGACAAATGTTGTGATTGGATTCATGGTTTGTGTGGGAAAAAACATGAAAGTTATTATCTTACTGGGTTTACACTGCCAAATTATAAAATATGAGCTAATAATTGCTTAAATCAAGTGTTTTAGTTCTTAATTTGAGCACATTCTGACTCTCTTAATAGGTAGACATTTCTTGTATCTTTTTTGAACAAAATCATTTTTCTTGTCCCATTGGAATATCTTGTTAAAATGTGATCGAATTAAGATACATTTTGCCAAGTTTTTGCAATTTTTGGCTTGCTTTTCTTAACTTTTTGCAGTGTAGAAGGCTAGTGTTCTTTGCCAAGTAAGATTCAATAATTGTTGCGACCATACCTTGAATTAAAGGTATATACTGTAGATTCTCCCAAATTTTAAGAGAGAACCGCCCTCTCCACTTTTTGAACAAAACTCTCTGGTCTTATAGCATGTACCACCAGAATGATTGACATTTGGGAGGACCAATAGTCTCGATGATCCAGCCGGAAGCAGAAAATCCTCCTATATACCTTTAAGACTTACACCTTTTAGGCAAGTATTCTTATCTAACTGCACTGGCAAAACAATCAACACAAACTAATCTTAAACTTCTTGAATAAACACAAAATAGACTCAAAATTTGTGAGTCTAGAAAAACACACTGTAGAAGTTAAAACCTACTGAAATTATAGACGTGCCCTTCTTAACCATCCAGAAAGAATCTCTCATCGTGTAAAATAAAGATTTTCCGATACATTTGAGAGAGAAGAAAAGACATCACATGCTTCACTTATCCAAACACTTTTTTCAGCCACATTTGCAGAATTCTGAACTGCTGCTCTTAGTTTTATGCATAAGGCAAGATAGGTAAAATGTTCATAAAGGACATAAAGCTGTGATCATTCAAAATCTTTCAAACCAACCCAAAAACGAAACATTGTATTGTGGTCACCTTGATATGCCATGTATGTGTGAGGCGGGATGGATTGTTACAGAATGTGCTCACTGAAACTGATTTAATCCCATTTGTGAACAATATCTTATAGAAATGCTCTGTTTTTAGGTTGATCCCACAACAAATGGGAGAATGAACACCCTAATCCTCAAGCAAAAATGTGTTTTTACGAGCTTTCCAATGGTAAAACTGCAAAAAACAGAGGACATGGAGCAGAACAGCTAATTTGATATTTTGATATACTTTGATATTCAAGCCAGATTAAACTCTCAATCACGAGTTTAATTAATGCTTTGGTTTTACTGCGAGACTTTCCATCGAATTAAATATGTTTTTGCATGAATTGTGAGTCCAGTGAGGCCTGTTTCGGTCTCTCACGTAATGGTTTTGAAAGCTCCTGCTGTGCGTCCTTTTTAGGCGACGGATATATCGACAAGCCGTGTGTTTGGTTGACAGCAGCTTTGATAATTGACTACTTTTGAACTCTCCCTAACCCCCATTCTGTTCTCTGTCTGTATATCTCCCTCTCTGTCTGTCTGTCTCTCTCTCTCTCTGTCTCTGTCTCTCTCTCTGTCTCTATCTCTCTGTGTGTCTCTCTTTCTGTGTCTCTGTCTCTATCTCTCTCTCTCTCTCTGTCTCTCCTTCTCTTTGTCTCTCTTTTTCTCTTTCTCTGTCTCTCTCTTTCTGTGTGGCTCTCTTTCTGTCTCTCTTTCTGTGTCTCTATCTCTCTCTGTCTCTATCTCTCTCTGTGTGTCTCTCTTTCTGTGTCTCTGTCTCTATCTCTCTCTTTCTCTCTGTCTCTCCTTCTCTTTGTCTCTCTTTTTCTCTTTCTCTGTCTCTCTCTCTCTGCCTCTATTTCTTTCTGTCGCTCTCTCTCTCTGTTTGTCTCTCTCAATCTCTCTCTCTCTCTCTGTCTCTATCTCTCTCTGTGTGTGTATCTCTCTCTGTGTCTCTGTCTCCATCTCTCTCTGTCGCTCTCTCTCTCTGTCGCTCTCTCTCTGTCTGTCTTTCTGTGTCTCTCTGTCGCTCTCTCTCTGTCGCTCTCTTTCTGTCTTTCTGTGTCTCTCTGTTTCTATCTGTCTGTCTCTCTCTCACTCTCTCTCTGTCTATCTCTCTCTATCTCTCTCTTTCTCTCTGTCTCTATCTCTCTCTGTGTGTGCCTCTCTCTGTCTGTCTCTGTCTCCATCTCTCTCTGTCGCTATCTCTCTCTCTCTCTCTCTCTCTCTCTCTCTCTCTCTCTCTCTCTCTCTCTCTCTCTCTCTCTCTCTCTCTCTCTCTCTCTGTCTCTCTGTCTCTCTCTGTCTCTCTGTCTCTCTGTCTCTCTGTCTCTCTCTCTCTCTCTCTCTGCTCTTAGTGCCCACTGTACCACCAGGAAATGTTCAAGCTGAAGCTGTCAACTCTACAACTGTGCGTTTCACCTGGAGCGCCCCGAGCCCCCAGTTTATCAATGGAATCAACCAAGGCTACAAGGTGAGGAGCCTCTTTGCTCACTCCTGCCCTCCTGTGGCCAGTGACAGAACTGCACCAGTAATTGCCCCCTTTCATAAATACAATGCATAATTGTGACTGATCGAAGCTATATTTTAAACTCTTCAAATACTCAATGTATTTATTCTGTGTATTCAAGTTTGTATTTGGCACTTCACGTACGCTACAAGATTGCAAATATTGTTCAGTTATGGTATCTTGACAATAAAAGGTTTTATGGCATCAGTTTCAGACTGAGGAGAAAATCTGGAGGTGTTTTTTCCCCCATGCTCAGGCGATGCGTCGACATAAAGGATACCTGTTGCCTTCTCCCAAATCTGTTCCCTTCCACGACGAGTTTTGACAGGGGAAAAAACTTTCAGAGAATAAATACAACTGTAGATATGTGCTTGAAAGTTTACACACCCAGGCAGAAATGTGTTTGTCTTTTTTGCCATATTTCAGACAATTATGAATGACAATACACTTTTTTCACTCATTGTTAGTGGTTGCTGAAGCCTTTTATCATTTTTTTCATTTTGACGTTTTCCTTTTATTCCTGCATTCCTGCAGAAACAGTTGCTTTCATACATTTGTAATATTTTTTGCCTTCTTTACATATAGTATACACATTCACATGCATAGAACATACTATATACAAATATTGACACAGTTATATTGACACAGTTTCATCAATGGTCAATGTATTTATTTATATTATTTACAAATTAATAAACTTAATAAACAACTATGTTTTCTTGAAATGGATTGTGGAGAAGAAACCATGGACTCCCACCGCATGTACATAATTTAAGTTTTTTAATTCACTTATTGAGCATTGAAGATTGATCTAGGAGTCATGCTTGGTTTAAACATTTGGAATCTAACCTTGTGTTGAAATGTCCCCACTGTGCGACGAATAAAGGATCTCCTCAATTAAAACAGAAACTGCTCTTTTGACCCAATAAGAAGTCTCCATCCTGGTGCCGTGTGTCGCACCTTTAACATCAACGACAGCTTGGAGTCTATACTGGAGCAGTTGTGGATGAGGTTCTTAATACTGTCTGACAGTAAAGCTGACCGTTCTTCTCGGCAAAAAGCCTCCAGTTCCTGTAAATTCCTGGGCCACCTTGTATGAACTGCACATTTCTCTTCATATCGGCTCGACGGTGTTGTCATTTGAACATAGACAAAGTTTAGAATGCAAGGCCAATATCGTCGAGTTTTTGCAAATTATGGACAAAGCGATAATATCTCTGGTTGCATAACTGTATAATGTATGTGAAAAGCTAAAACAGAGAAGATTTATAAGATGAATGGTAAATTATATGTAAGAATAGTACACATTCATGTAATTTGTTAAGTTTTGAGTGAATAAGTAATACTCTCATGAATGTATTTACGGTAATTAGAATATGTGTAATCCAATTCAACACGACTTGATATTGTTTGTGAGTGGCCTCTGTTGCTGCTCTATTTATATGCTGCAGTAATATGAAAATTCTGAATAGAAATATCCAAATTACAACTCGTTATTTTCCACGCTGGATACTGAAATCTATTGTGTTTACAAGGACACCGGGGGGACAAACAGATACTTGAAAAAAAAACCTCATAACTTGGAAAATCACCCAATCTCTGTAAAATGTATTCAAAAGCTTCACACAAAACGCTGGACCTAAATATGTAATAAAACCCCTCTAACTTCAGTTTCTTGCTCTAAAACAGTTGGCTTCTATCACTCGTTTTCACATGCATGTATTTTTTGGGCAAAAAAGGGAAAAGGAGAAGACCACACTCCCTCAGCCAATCAGCTCTCAGCTCAAAGCGTCCAATAGTGACTAACTGAACTCTTTCTTATAAATATGCAAAATATAGCATGTTAATAGGGGCGACAGTAGCTCAGTTGGTAGAGCATTGGCCTTAAGCCCAGAAGGTCGTGGGTTCAATTCCCACCTCTGCACCTTCTCCACCGACTCCCACTGATGACTGCTGTCGTTGTGTCCTTGGGCAAGACACTTAACCCCACTTTGCCCAAAAGCCCCCACTGAAAGATCAAGGCTATGCTCACACTCAGAGAGCAGCCGTCCTCCTGTGGACTCACCACCTGCAGAGGGTCAGTGAGGGGCTGGTGCTATGAGACTTGGGTGGCATCTCTGACTGCCACCCCCCTGACCCAGAAATGGATTAAAGGGTAGAAAATGGATGGAAATGGATGGATGGATAGCATGTTAATATTAAGACAGCAGGTCGTGGTCTGATTTGTTCACAACATTTTACTTGTACTCATTCTAACAGCACACACAAATGCATATGAAGGGGGGGAATTTAGGTACCCAAGCTTTAATGACATTTCTTCTCACACTCCAACATATGTCTTACCTGTAGCTTCTGGCCTGGGAGCCCACTCGTCCAAACGAGGTCTCAGGCATGATAGTGCGTCCCAACTTCCAGGACAGCGTTCACGTCGGCTACATCTCCGGTCTTAAAAAATTCACCGACTATTACTCCTCCGTGCTTTGCTTCACCACCCCTGGGGACGGCCCACGCAGTATTCCGCAGCGCGTCCGAACCCACGAGGACAGTAAGTGATAAAAAAAATGAATAAAAATATATATTCACCCGGCCCCTTTGTTGTGTTGTTATAGTGCCTGCTTTATTTTATCTTTACAGCCCCTGGAGCTGTGGGCCATCTAAGCTTTACGGACATCTTGGACACATCACTAAAAGTCAGCTGGAAAGAGCCACAAGAGAAAAATGGCGTCCTTACAGGTAAAATTTAATAGTTCAACAGCCTGCTTTTATTCTAGAAAGACCAGACTGCACTAAAAATCCTCCGTCCCAGGTTACCGGATATCATGGGAGGAGTTCAACCGCACCAACACCCGGGTGACCCATTATTTGCCCAATCTGACACAGGATTACAAGGTCACAGGCCTGACAGCGCTCACCACATACACTATTCAAGTGGCGGCCATGACCTCCAAGGGACAGGGCCAGATCTCTGCCTCCACCATATCCTCCGGGGTGCCCCCAGGTTAGTGGTCAAACGTTTTAAATCATTTATAAATAAGAATACATAAATGGTAACTTGAATTATTTACATTTTTTTGCTGCTAAGTTCTGAAGGGCAGGGCATAGGGCGCAGCAACTTTTTCCAAGAGCTGGTGGTTTAGTAGTTTATAATAATATATAGATTTTTATTTGTTTTTTAAACCTGTACAACACATATTTTAACATATTTCAAAATAACAAATAACAAGTACATGGTGAGAAAAGGGATTGGATAAACTAAATGCCTCCAACCCCCCATCTCCATTTGCCATATGAATATGTCTATTTTCTCACAACGCCTTTAGGGGCCAGGGCTCCCTTTGAAAAGTGATAGTGAGAGTCAGTGGGGATGCTGCTTAAAGCTTGGGTACCTCACTTTCTGTTTGATGAATCATGTGTTGTTTTTTCCCCAACAGAAAGATTATTCTAAAAGTAGAATATTGTGTCTTCATATTATTAGAAAGCATGTTATATATTTTTGCATATTTGTGTTGAAAAAAGCCTTGTGAGTCTATATTTCCTGATTTGCGCTGAGAGCTGATTGGCTGAGCGAGGATGGTCCTTTCTTTTTCACTTTTCTGTCTGAAAAGGCTTTGACAAAGGCAAAATAAGGCATGTTAATGAAAGCATACTGTTAAAACTAAACTGTTTTGAGAGCTCAGATCAGTTAGCTCAGTTACAAAATCGTTCCATGTTTTGTGGTTTGAAAGTGATGTACCCCAGAGTTAAAGGAGCAATATGTAAGATTTTCATGTCAAGTCATCACTAATCTGTCAAAAGGCGTTAATAAAACATGCTCTTTTCCAATACTTCTTTAACTGATAACTGTAGTTTAGCCGAGATTTTGGGATTTCAAAATTAGTTTTACAGCCCCTAAATTGTTTTCATTTCGATGTCCCGCCCTCCACTGTTTTGCCAATCAGGAAGTCCATGATCTAATCTCAATGGTAAAGAAACATGTGACCGCAGAACTAAAAAAAAGGTCTTGTTATGATTCTCAAATCATTAATGACAAAGCAAGCAATAAACCCAGGATTTCTATCTTTGTGAAAAATGTGTTGGTTACAGATTTGTAGTTGACGAAACTCTTTATTCAGATATTATAGTTCAAGCTGGATTCGTCTGTGTATCTGGCAACCTGAGTCAGGGAGAGTGCAGTACCACTTTTGGCCAGATTTTTACATACTTCTCCTTTAAATAAAAGTGAATGATAATATTCTTCATAATAATAATGATATATTAAACAGATAGGTGAATGTATTTTCTTGATATATGAGCTCTTTCTTTTAGATAAACAAAACTACTGCCTGGAACAAAGTGCTACGATGCATTAAATGAGGTCAATGATCCACGACGTCTGTCAATATGAATGCACCACAAGCCTCAACTACAGAAGACTGTTTCCACGGCTCCTATTTTGCACGACTGAATAGACAGTGCTTAGAACGAGACAAAAATAACATCTAATTGTCGTATCAAATATCATGTTTTCTTCAAAATTGTAATATTGGTAGAATTCATTCAATCCAAAATGGGTTTTTGGGTGCAGCTTATTGTTCTCCAATTATTTAAAAATTTCAAAACAGAACAAAACAAATCATCCATTTCAGTTATTTCACTAAAACTTTTCTTCCATGTTTTTGCATGTCATTTCTTTTCAGAGTTTCCGGGTCCTCCTACCAACCTCGCCGTCTCCAACATTGGCCCCCGCTCTGTCATGCTGCAGTTCAAACCAGGTTACGACGGAAAAACATCCATCTCCCGTTGGCAGGTGGAAGCTCAGGTAATGCTTCATATCTTTTAATGTAATGAGTCTGGCTTTTCCCTGCTTCAGTGTTTGCCACGTTGTTTTTGTGTTTTATCCTTTTGTTTAACCGCGTACGTTGCCTTTCTTTACACTGTGCTTTTTTCAGATCGGAATAATAGGCGAGAATGAAGAGTGGTTGCTGGTACATGAAGTGACTAATGAGCCTGACGCCAGATCTCTCAATGTGCAAGACTTGAATCCATTTACTTTCTACAGGTAAACATTGCATTCAGAGAGGCATGTCAAACTCAGGCTCGTGGGCCAAACTCGGCCCGCAAGAACATTTTTAGTGGCCCCTGATTATCATTATTTCAGTAACTTGATGGTAATGGGATACTATGGCATGTTATTCTTCATTTTAGAGCTTATTTTCTCAGGGAAACAACCATGTAATGTAATATGTTTTAAAATGTTAACTATAATATAAACAGACGTTAGAGTTCTTGAATTTGTTGTTTTATTTTCATATCTAAACAAAGGAAGGTCTAATCCCTGTACGACTGATTAGCCTTAAAATACTCTCCTTGATAATTGGCCCAGTTCTGGTTTACACCAAACCTCCAAGAAAATAATATCTAAACTTATGTTGAATACAGTTAATATGTCAAAAGAGAAAAATATGTAAAAACTTCTATACTTTTGGCCCCGACCAGCTTTTATGTTTTTAAATGTGGCCCCCCACCAAAATGAGTTTAACCTCTGCATTAAGATTATTAATTTTTTTTATTTTTTTTTATTATCAACTGCTTTCTAATAACCTAATATTACGCTCAGGTTCAGAATGAGTCAAGTGAACATAGTGGGTCCAAGTCCTCCCAGTCAGCCATCCAGGAAGATCCAGACCCTCCGAGCTCCTCCAGACATCTCTCCGGCCAACGTGACCCTGCGCACAGCGAGCGAGACCAGTCTGTGGCTGCGCTGGGTGGTGAGTGACTGTATTTATGTGCTGTAGTTTGGACTCATTTAGTAAAGAAATAAATCTTCGCTGCTGTGAAGTCCAGCCCATTCTAAGTTTGCTCGTTTCGGAAAGAATGATCCCTATTTATTATCCCCAAATAAATAAATATGAAAGAATATTCCTTAGTAAGCGTTTGAAGGCATAACGGCTATTGAAATGCTAATGGGATGCTAATTGGCTTTGTGTGTATTATTATCTACAATGCCGTGGTTTTTAGTCCAAAATACACTTTTATAGCGATTGCTTGATTGTCTTTTTGTGATTTGTTTTGTTGATTTGTTTGTATGAAATGTAAAATATTATACATGTTCATGCATTCTTTCAAACTTCCAAAGCCAAACTATGAAATGTGTTAATGCAAAATTATATGAATTATGAAATCAAATTGTAGGCACATAACTGATTAGTCCTGAGCAAGGTTTGAAATGTTTATCTTTGACCATGATGGAATATAGAGCCATCGAGGCTTCTATATTTATATATTTACATCCTCGTGATTATGTTAGAAGTTAAACAAAATGAATGAAAGAACATGATTAGTTTGTGTGGTCCTCCATCCACGCTGCTGCAGCGGTCGATGCTTGTTCTGATTGGTGTCACAGTTCTGAGTGCTGTGGTAAGTTGTCTTTCTGGCTGCTCATCACACAGCTCATGACCGTGAACCGTGATGGCAGCTAATATTCCGTTGCTGCTGGTCATACTGTTATGGCTGATTGATTGCTGATTGTTTGACTCTAAATGAGGCTGGCTGTCGCCTCTCTGCACCTCGGAGAACATGTGCTGCTCTTGTACAGGTGGCACTTGTGGCGTTTTGGAAAGCAGCTCGTGCCCTGTTATTGCTGCTCTCCGCATCAGCAGTTGGCTGGCGGACCTTGTGCTACATCTGTCCATTACAGCTCTGTGCCAGTGCCTGACCGCTGCCAAATAGGAGGAGTGAGACTCTGAACACTAGGGCAACTCGTGCAGCATATAAATAAGAGTGAAAGGCATGTGATGAGGCAGTGCAAATGAATCACACTGTGATTGTAGCTTCTTTAAAGGCAGCACACTTTGTCCTTGAATCCTGGTCAAAACCAAAACATATATTTTACTAAACAACCATTGTTTGGAAACTTCCCTGTTTTTGTGTTCTGAGGAATGGTCATAGTCCCATGTTATACACATTTAACAGTGTGTGTCGGTGATTTTAATCTGTGCTTCCTGGAAAACAAGAATTATTCACACAAATACAATCAGTCAGCTTCTTGCATGATACAATTTATTATTTAGTAATGATAAAAGCAGTTTCCCTTTAATGGAGTAGTTATACCTCATTTTCGAAGCCCACTTTGTTTAACAAGTTATGACTGTTGGCTGTAACTTCTTGAACCTCTTCATAAATTATACTTAAAAGTAGAGTTAAGTCTTCATCAGACCAGACGCCATGCAAAATAAACATATCAAATATGCAAATGAAAAATAGACTAAATATAGCCTGAAAGTTCTCATGGCACTAAAGTAATCAAACATTAATTCCCTGCTTTACAAGCTTTAAGTTATCTGTAATTACGCTCTTTTATCTTTAAAATAATGTCACCATTCAGTTTCCTTTGTACGGAGACTGTCTTTGAATAATCAAAGCGGGAGCTGGACAGTGATTTCCATATAAATGCTAAACCTCATGTTGAAAATATTGGACTTGCTTTTGGTTGTTTCCTTTGCCTTTTTATTTTATAAAATGTTTACTTTTACTTTTTCAACATGAATTCAACCTGTATTAACCATTTTCTCATCAATTTGTGAACAACATCGATAGTGGGTCATGTTAGATGGCTCAGCTGTAGTTTATGTTTTCCATGAGTCGGCTCAGAGCGGTGCTAAGTGCTGGCCTTTTCTCATATTGCTTGTCATTGCTGCTGACAACACTTCTGAAGTGTTCTGAAATCTCTATAAAGTACTGCCTCTCGCGGCTTATTGCTTTATTATGCACTTAGTCACACTGTCATTTGTATTGATTTTGTCTTGTACTTGAGAACTCAAAACAAAAAAATCCTTTTAGCCTCTTCCAGAGTGGGAGTACAACGGTAATCCAGACTTGGTTGGATACAGACTGCAGTACTCAAAGGCCGGCTCTAAAGGAGGCGTCCTATCTCATGTCATAATGGACCGACTGGAGAGAGAGTTCACCATTGAAGACTTGGAGGAGTGGACGGAGTATGAAGTCCGAGTGCAAGCGATGAATGGCGTCGGGTCAGGTCCGTGGAGTCAGGCGGTGGTCGGGAGAACAAGGGAATCTGGTGAGCACAAAGCACTCATTAAATCAACACTTTTCCTCATACATGACGTGGAAACAGGAGCTTGTTCCGTTATTATATTCAGACACAGCAAAGATGCCGCGGTTCCCAGTCTTTTGTTGTTGAAACACAATGTTGTATGAATGTTTTCACTGTATGTGTCAGAATGTTAAGAGACGTGCTGCCAATTTTCTGTGGCTTTGTGTTTTCTCTATCTGTCCCAAAAAACCATCCTTCCATTTTCTTCCGCTTTATCCCTTGCCGGGTCACAGGGCAGCAACAGAAGGAATTGTGTGTGGATAGACAGGTCTGGGCGTCTCTGCTCAAATAAACTAAAAACAAAATAACTGTTATTTTATTAAGTATTATTTTATGAAGCTAACATATTCCCCGATCATAGGAAAGATGCCCCGGTGTGAGTTCAGTTGTTTTTATGCAGAAAAGGAAGAGTGAATGGTCATTTATGAAGTCCATCTATACATTCAACACCACAAGGATTTTGTGTTATTAAGATAAGACAAAGATTCAGATGTTAATGTTCATAATCACTTAGTATTTGCTTCATGCACATATAATCCGACTCTTATGTTGCTCGAATATGCCCAGTTTCTGAGATCAAGATTATTGGAAAAATGAGATTCAGAAAGTTAGAATCTCATTAACTGCATGTTGCTGCGTATATCAAGAGCCGAATAGGCGCCTACATGCATGCTTAGTCCAAAAAGCACAGTAACGCTGCAGTTGAAACAGGTCAACTCAATTTAAACTCATTTTTTTGCACAGTGCCCTCCTCTGGCCCCCAAAACGTGTCAGCCTTTGCCACCACCTCCAGCAGTATCCAGGTGCGCTGGGGCGAAGTACCGGAGCAGGACCGCAATGGCCTGATTCTGGGCTACAAGGTCAGCAATCACCACTGATAACATCACGACATTATATTTGTATACGCATTTTTTTAACCCAGTATTTCTTTGCTTTAGGTTGTGTTTAAGGAGAAAGACTCAGATATGATTCCCAATTTTTGGACAGTGGATGGCAACACTAGCCACAGCGTTCTGTTGACGGAACTGGGGAAGTATGTTCTATATGAAATACAAGTGGTGGCCTTCACACGTATTGGAGATGGACGCAGCAGCCAGCCTCCCATTCTGGAGAGAACTCTTGATGATGGTAAGAAATATATTCATATGACTATGTCTTGTAACCTTTGCAATCATGAAAGTTTGTCTAAAGGAGACATTATACATTAGGCTCGCACAACGCCACTCTTTCTGTCTAAATGCTCCTGTCTCAAACCTGTAATGATATGATGTCATTTTTTGTATTGAATCACACTCAGAGTAGTTTTATGCCTTCTAAGACAAAAGTATTTCCCCTAAATTAGTGCAATAGTGTTCTTTACAACAACAACAAAAAACATCCATCCATCCATCCATCCATTTTCTACCCTTTAATCCATTTCTGGGTCAGGGGGGTGGCAGTCAGAGATGCCACCCAAGTCTCATAGCACCAGCCCCTCACTGACCCTCTGCAGGTGGTGAGTCCACAGGAGGACGGCTGCTCTGAGTGAGAGCATAGCCTTGATCTTTCAGTGGGGGCTTTGGGCAAAGTGGGGTTAAGTGTCTTGCCCAAGGACACAACGACAGAAGTCATCAGTGGGAGTTGGTGGAGAAGGTGTAGAGGTGGGAATTGAACCCACGACCTTCTGGCCTTCAGGCCAATGCTCTACCAACTGAGCTACTGTCGCCAAAAAAACATACACGCACAAATTCAACTCTGGTGGTAGCATAGAGAGTTACATGCAGATAGCATTTTCTATCCTTGATACATGTTTCTCCATATATATATATTTTCTTAAGATATTTCACATTCTAAACCATGAAGTGGAAAGGTAAAATGACTAATTATTTTTTTTAATGAACAAGAATAATGCATTTACATGTCCTCTTTTCTTCGCGATAACAGGTGGGCAACAGACCTTAGACCAGAAAAACTTACGTAGTTCACTTAAATTAAATTATATCTGGCCAGTTGCCTTTAATTACATTCATAAGCTCCACAGTGATACAACCATTTTAATAATTCTCTTTTTCATGTCACAGTGCCTGGTCCACCTGTGGGTATTTTATTCCCAGAAGTCAGAACCACTTCAGTCAGACTAATCTGGCAACCCCCTGCTCAGCCTAATGGCATCATTCTGGGTGAGTCTCATCTTTGCACACGTTCTCTCCAGAGCCCAAACTCAACACATTTATCTGGACTTCTACACCAAAATGTATTTTCTTTCCTCCATCCCTTGTGTTTACATTCATATATGGTGCGTTCACTTTCAGCCTATCAGATCACATATCGGAGAAACTCTTCAAACAGCAACGGCGCCACAGTAGACGTGTTGAGCCCCAGTGCGCGACAGTACACAGCCACTGGTCTTAAGCCCGAGACGGTTTATGTATTTCGACTCACTGCGCAAACACGCAAAGGCTGGGGCGAAGCTGCCGAGGCCCTGGTCGTCACTACAGAGAAGAGAGGTAAACAGAAAATGCATATATATTTTTGTAATATATTCTCAAGGCTCTTAAAACATGAATAAAACATTTGTTATCGGCACACCTTAACAAAGACACTCTTACGTAAATGCAAATTCATAAGAACTTTCTACTTTTTTCTGTCTACTTTTAAAGATTTGGATATTTTTACTTTGTTTTACCAGATTAGATTTGACCGCTAATTTTAACTCCAAATGTCAACTCGGAATGAGAGATGATCCCAAATATAACCCCCTAAACCAGACTATAAGGGTTCCCAGACTTTACTCAAAGACAGACCCTGATCCTATCCATTGGTACTACTTGTCTAATAATAAAGATGGAGTACCTAAGTTGTTTTGTTTCATAAATTTTAAATTTGGTTCGTCCAAACAGAAAGAGCTGATCTGATCTAGTCACAGGACCAAGTATTTTGAGAACTTGAAACTAGTTAGAAAGATTTTATTTCAGTAGTTATTATTTGTAGTTTGAAAGTTAGGTAACCCAGCATTAACTGGTACCAATAACAGAGCTAAACCTCAGCGCTAAACCAGCATTATACACGTCTGAATCGAGCCAAAATGGGATAAATCCAAGTGCACACCCAGCTCCCTGTCGTCTCATCATCCGGCCGTAGCACTTTGCCATTTGCTCTTTGCATCGAATGGTATTAGAAATATATTTATGTTTTTACTGTTTTTCAGCCCGACCCCAGCCCACCAGTCGCCCTGTGGTCCCCCAACAGAACGTCCAGGCTCGCAGGGTGCTGTTGTCATGGGAACCGGGCAGCGATGGCTTGTCCCCTGTTCGCTACTACACCGTCCAGTACAGGGAGCTGCCGGACAGTAACTGGACTGTGCACTCGGCCTCCGTCAGCCACGAGACGACCTCCTACATCGTGGACCGGTAATGGAGTTTAGATTTGTGCGCCGCCCATTTACAAGACTCACTGTGCGAGCTGGCTTTTGTCTAAAACGGTTTTTCTTTTTCTGAATTTGAAGGTTAAAACCCTTCACTTCTTATCAGTTCCGTGTCAAAGCGACTAATGACATTGGAGACAGTGAATACAGCCAGGAGAGCGAGGCAATTACCACGCTACAAGACGGTAATGTGTAGAATCCAATTTAAAGAGTCACACATTATGTATACAGCTGTTTTAATGGCTTGTCAATAATACATCTGTCCAATACAAGCGTTTAATTACTAAATAATGACCTTTTATTTATAGTTCCTGACAAAGCGCCGACCATTTTAGCTGTTACTCCACACACTACAACGTCTGTGCTCGTCCGGTGGAAGGTAGGCAAGGCGTTTTAAAGCTGGGTTACCTACATTTTTATACACAATGTATGTTATTTGTCCCAACTGGAAAAAAAAAGTCTTAAGTAAACCTATAATGTTAGTTTATTCATCATATAAAAAAAACTTGTTATCTTATGAGAACATTGTAAGAAAGTAACTATTTGACACTTTGGTCTGAGAGCTGATTGGCTGAAAGAGGGTGGTATCTCTTTTTCACTTTTCTGTCTGAAAAAGCTGATCAGAAGCTAAAAGATGTGACAAGTATTGATGGAACTGTATTTTAGAGTTAGAGTTTTTTTTTGTACATGGTTAATTTGTTTGCTGTTTGAAAGTGAGGTACCCCAGCTTTAGTGCATGGACATTAATGAGTGAGTTGTTGATGGAGACGATGCTTTCTTCCCGCAGTCGCCCACAGAGGACCACATCAACGGAGTTCTACTGGGATACAGAGTTCGCTACAGAGAACTACACTACGACCGGCTGCGGACTTTCTCTGTCCGAACCGTCAACAACCCTGCCAACTGGGCTGACCTCGCTGGTATGACTTCATCATCACATATGATAGTATATATAATGTCTGAATTTTAGTATTGTAATTCACTAATCACAAACACAATACAGTGCCATGAAAGAAGCGCATAGACCAACTGCAGTGTTTTTAAACCATCTATTATTGAAGCTTTTATTTTTATTAAACATGATTTTTTTCATGAATAATAGACTGTGTTAGTCCTGCAAATGTGCAGTAGTGTCATCACTGTGACTATTTGAACCCACAGTGGAAATAAGTCATTATGAGAGGGCACTTCTTTCCTAAAATTTTAATTTTCAAGTGCTCTTTGTGTTTGTATGCTCCACATTCCTACTGTTCTGTAACCTTTGAAGCAACACTGGGGGAGATCTCGTAATCGTATTTGATGCTATGGCCAGAGAGCTGATTGGCTAAGCTTGAGTAGTCCAAGCTGTGACAGAGGCCAAAGATACTGTACATGCATGTGAATACTGCTAATCAAATCCAACTGTTTTGAGGGTAATTTCAGTAGTTAGATGCTTTTTGCAACATATTTTTGTGGTTTTAAAGTCAAGTACCCCAGAATTTAACCTGTTTGCACATTTCTTTCTTTTGCACAATCTTGACTGTTTCTATCCATAAAAATTCCCCTATGTGAGATCAATAAAGTCTATCTTATCTTATCTTTAAATGCTGGCTTTACAAACGGCAAACTCTTGACCAGCAGAGTTACAGAGTGTGTTTTTAAATCCAATATTTGCCTTCATCTATTTGGTTTTATGTCTTACCCCTCACCTCATGTTGATAATACTAATGCGCTCGTCTTTTTGTAGTCACGACCAACGCACGGTTGTGGTTAATTAGTCCTGTACGGCTCCACACAGTCGAAAAACAAACACGGTTGAGACACATTTCATTTGTGTCGACAATAAATATTCATATCGTTCTGAAGCCGGTGGTAGAATTATAATCCCGAGTCGACTCCTAGCTAGTATGTCGAGCGTGTTCAGTCGCTGCCTATGAGAATAAGTTTAATAATTTTGTACATTCCGTCCATCTTTATATTCTGCTCTATCTTCTCTCACTCCAGCTCCCTACAGCATCAGGAACCTCAGTGAGTCCTCGCTGACCCAATACGAGCTGGACAGTAAGTCTGTTATATGTGTCTCTGCTTCAAATGTGCCATCGCTGTGTTCACGCTTTTATTTGTATTTGCCTGTGCTACTTTAGTCTCGAGCTGTCATGCTAGTATTTTAGGGTCTGACAGAGCAAGTTTATGTGTATAGCATGGTTCCCGTCTCAAAGTGCTTAACAAAACACAATAATAAACCTGATTCAAGGCATTCAAATCATAAATAATCACAGTGTAAGTGAATTTGCAATCCTTCAGTTGTATACACGGCTGAACAGAACTGTTTTAACACTAGAACTCCCAGAGCAGTCAATTGGACGGCTTTCGGTGTGTAATTACTCAGCTCGTGTACGGTGTTGGTCTTCATAATGTTGCGATAGATAAAGTTTCTATACAGCGTTTATTTCTGTGTCATTAGTTTTATGAATAGATCTTTTATTTTTCACCTGTGAGTATTTCTATATACTAATTTTCCACCAGAAAATATAAAGTGCTCGTTACCATAGCAACACACAGTTTACCGGCAGCAGTTAGCCTTAGTCTTATTTGCAGTATTTCAGTTAAAATTGAATAAAACGTAAACTACTTCCCCTTTAATACCTTTAATTCCATTGTTTTTTTTGGTAGCAGTCACCATGACGGCTCTGGGATTTCTCATAGTTTCAGAATTGTGTGAGTCAGAGTAGAATCCTTTCTCACATTTTCAGGAAGACTGTTCTTCAGCTGCATACATGTGAAACGCTGCTTCCCCATTTTAGCTTTTCTACTCATGGACAAATCTTGCATGTTCTGATAACAACCTAGTGTTTTTGTCACACTAAGCTTCATAATTCCACCCGTCTGTCCTTTTTTTGTTCAATATTTGATGTTGTTCTTGCCACCGGCACCACTCTGACGATGCTTTTCTCCAGAGGAATTTTGTGTATGACGAGAAAAAAAATAAAATAAAGGATTTTCTAACTATAGCGTTTGCTTTTTGCAGATTTGAGCAAACATAAGCGATACGAGATCCGACTTAGTGTGTACAATGCGGTGGGGGAGGGTCCCAGCAGTGTGCCCCAGGAAGTGTTCGTCGGGGAGGCCGGTACGTTTCATCTCTTTGTCACTTCAGATTTACTTTGAGAATGCTTCAAATGAGAAACTGTTCCAAATGCATGTTTTACAATGTTTTATGCAAAAGAGAGACACAATAACAGATTACAGGCAAGATGTGTTTGGAGCTCCTGAAGATTCACAATATTTAAAAAGTCTTAGCAGTCTTAGATGAGGCTTTTGTGATGCAACATATACATTGTTCATAAGTTAATGTATGTATGTAATTCAACTTTTGATTTGATACCTGTATATAATATAGACTAGTGACATATGTCAAGTTGTTATAATTTACACTGCATTTTCAAACTATTTGGGTTTTTTACAAGCTTCGTGCCAATTTTCAAAATAATAGCAAATAAACAAAATATTTGATATAGCTTACTTTATGTGTGATGAGTCTATCGTATTAGTTTCACATTCTAAACTGAATTACAGAGTGGACAGAATGGACAAAGTTTTGCCTGTTTATCAGCGGCTTCCCACCTGGGGCTCTGGAGCTTCCAGAAACTCGCTGCCCACTCTGTAACAAAGGATTCAGAAATTAAACAAATGATTCTGAGTTATTCAATAGTTTCATATTCATTGAAACTATTGTGTGTGTTAGTATGTGCACTACGTAGGGATATATTTACTATAATGGTATATTTTGAATACAATACTAGTCATAGCATAAACCACCTTTTTAATATGATGATAAATGCCATTTCTGTTTTGCAAGAGTAGCTTTCCGATCAAAAAAGGTTGGAGACCCCTGAAATGTATGTACATATTTCCAAAAGGTCTGAATCAAAACCAAAAAGGATCCACTTCATCCATTCCCTAAAGCAATAGATACAATACAGCCGCTTCAAAAGGAAAAAGCAATAAAAACCATGTCAATTGTAGAAGAAAATTGAAAACAACATGTCCTAACTTAATTGTGTGTGCGTTTGTGTGTGTGTGTGTGTGTGTGTGTGTGTGTGTGTGTGTGTGTGTGTGTACAATGTTTGCCTCTGTCATGAATGTGTATGCGGGGAAGCAATTCTGTCTTGTATTGTATTGTAACATCCCAAATAATAAAATTGTGTTTTCTCAATATTCACTAATTCCCTACTAATTTTTTTTTTTATTATTATTATTCAGTTCCTACGGCACCTCCTCAAAACATTGTGATCCAGTCTTCCACCGCTACCCAGCTGGACGTCACTTGGGACCCCCCACCTCCGCACGCTCAGAACGGAGACATACAAGGCTACAAGGTATCAATAATTCGCGCGTTACTCAGACTTACATCATGACTATCGCTATTTTTCATTTTCCGCAAAAAAGGAACAGATGAAAAACAGATATGAATTGTGTATGCTGACGCCCTATCCTGTGTTTTTTTAGATCTATTTCTGGGAGTTTCAGCTGCAGAATGAGACGGAGCGTTTGCGCACACTCTTCCTGCCTGAGCTTGGGGTGAAGCTTAAAAACTTGACAGGTTACACCACCTACATGATCAGCGTGGCAGCCTTCAATGCCGCAGGGGATGGGCCGCGCTCCCTGCCCACCAGAGGGCGCACTCAGCAAGCAGGTAAAAGGGCCAATGTAGACGTTAAAACCATGGATCTAACCTGTGTGCGTTTCCCATGTCACTACACAAAAGGCCCATACCATTATCCCAGTCTATTTTATGTTTTCTTTCCAAGCGTCTATTCTGTGTGAAGGGAATTGATTGCCTAGGTTCTGTAAGGATGTTATTTATAGAACGACAGACACTCGCTTTTCAAGGCTCCTCCACAAATTGAGGTCATGCTGATATACTGTGAATTTGTGTTGGCTATATTAAAGAGGGGGTACCTAACTTTTTTTCTCATAAATATTGCCTGTTGTGTGTTTACAACAAATCAGACCACAACACCCTGCCCATGTCTCTTTGGAAGACATTTTATCTTTTCCGTAAAGAAAGAACTCTAGTAGTCACTATTTGATGCTTTGGGCTGAGAGCTGATTGGCTGAGTGAGAGTGGTCCTGTCTTTTTATATTTTTTACCTGAAAAAGCTGATCTAAAGATGTGACAGAGGCCAAAAAATACTTGCAGGTGAAAACTGTAGTGACAGAACCAAAAAGCTGTAGAGCCAGGAACGATAGATGGATTCTTTTCTCTTTTTTGTAGTTTGAAAGTTGGGTACCCCAGCTTTAACAATGAAGGTTTGTTTCTTTTATTTCCATCCTATAGTGTCACAGACAGCTAGACTCCAGCAGTTTAGCAATGAATAAAAAGTCTGGGGGACACAGCAGATTATTTTTGGTCCACAAATGCCCAAAGATGTCTGTGTTTACCAGTTGCCTGCTTTCCTCCTCTGCGGCTTCAGCACAAAAAGTGGTTTACTGTACAAATGTCCGCCCCCTTGAAGCCTGTGACACTGGCAAAAGGCTACAAAGTGCTGAGAACTTAAAAACAGAGGCTGGAATTTTGGCCGTCCACACTACAGGCTACTGGGAAGCGGGCCAACGCAAGCTTTTGTGAATTCTATACAGAGCCGTAGCTAAATCCATGACACTTAGCTGGATCTGAGCTAGGTCAGCAGGGTAAATTCGCACAGCTCCGGTTCAAGGTCAGCAAAAAGAATAATTTTGCACAATGTATTATGTCCTCTAACTATTTCCGACAGGGCGGATTTAACTGTGGATTTGAAAGCTGTGAATATATTGTGCCAGTAATGATCGTCTAAGAACTTCTCAGGAAAAGCAGTGCAAGAATGAAGCCATATAACAAGTTATAACAAATGTTGTACAATTTTGTACCATTTTCTCTATTACTATTATTTTTAGTATTATTAATATTAATTAATTAATCTAATTACCGATTACCCCCATCTTCCGCTCCTCCCATCCCATGCATTTGCACGCCCTTTTGTCCCCATGTCAACCTGTATGGGTATGTGTAAACTGTGTGTTTATTTTAAGATTAAGATTAAGAGAGTGGGGAAATTTCAGTGTTGCATCACAAGCTACAGAAGGAATGAGGAGAACACATCACAAGATCATTGATTAATAACTCTATACTAACAAGAAATAATATAGAATAAAACTTCTACCTCCAGCATTAAAAGAAGCAGTATAAAATCTCAATCTTTATCATAATAAGTAAAGAACTTGTTGTATGTATCTATGTGCAATTTGCGATGGACCATCCGGGTAAATTATGCCACGCACATTCATTGTTAATCCTTACGTTGCACTGTGGTACTTGTTCATTCAACTTTCCCTGCATTTTTCCCTTTTTTTCTTACCCCTAGATGTTTTTAAAGGCTCCAGTGTGTGCCTTAATTGCAAAATAGATTCATTTTCTTCAGAAGTGACAAATCCCGTTCCTCTGTGGTGGCATATCCAGGTCACCACACGCAGCTTTTATAAGTGTATTTTTCATCTGAAGTCGTCTCTCTACCCTCTTTACCCAACAGCCCCCACAGCTCCGGGCTTCATTCACTTTAGCGAGCTGACCACCACTTCTGTCAACGTGTCGTGGGGAGAGCCCAAGCAGGCCAACGGCATCATCGAGAGCTACCGGCTGGTTTATGAGCCGTGCTCGCCAGTCGATGGTGAGTACAACAGAAAACCTGCTCAAAGCTGAATTCTCTCCTCTCATAACATTCCTCTGCTTCACTTGACGCAGATTTAGAGCATTTAGCCGCTGCACTAACCTATATTATTTTTAACTCACGCTGCTTAAGCAAATATTCTAATCTTTGACAGCTGAGGAGGGTTTCATGCATGAGGTGCAGCGCTGCGCCAAAGTGAGGGGTGGGAGAGCTGGAATAACCCTAAAAAATGTGAGGAATTAGAGTCAATAGTATTTTAAGCAGTGTAGTAGCAGTAAAGGTGTAGAGTCAACAATTATGGTGTAAAGTCGGAATGTTATTCTTTATCAAGCCCTTATGGAAGGTCTGTCCATGGGCTAAATAGATGGACTGCATTATTGATTGATCTTCTCTTTCACAGTCCTGTCAGAGTAATGACTAAATCGACTCATCGTTCAATAACTGATGGATCTGTACAGTTTGGGGTTCAATATTTATAGTGTGTCCATTTCTTTTGAATAATGGGAGGATTGTTGTTCCAATACAAATAAGGCTGTAGAGGGTTGATAAACTTTAATGTCAAAATATGTTTTAGTTTTGCTGTCTTTTATTCTCTACGCAGGCTTTTTAATGAAATTGAATTTTTTTCTGGGATTATGCTGCTGTATAGTTATTTTGTCAGTTGAACGAAGTAGTTTCAATACAACATACATTACCATTTTTATCCTGATTTAACTGACTCTTCCTAGTTGTATTGCCTCTTTCTGTTGAGATTGATCTATAGATTCGTATATAGATAGATTTTTGTATTGAATTAATCACGGTTTGAGCTCAAGTTCAGTTTTAAGTGTTGTTTTTTACTTTACCTCACACTCTATTTTGCCAATTTGTAAAGTCGTTTTGCTCTGTGGCGTAGCCTGTGTGTCTGACAAAGTACAGGGGTAAGATTTACCGCAGCTTCCTTCCTGGGAATAAAAATGGCAGACTGAGGTGTAATTGGGAGCATAGGTAAAATTGTGAACCGGGCCGCGTGTGATCCCCTGGCAATTTATTAATGGAAGAGAGCTATGTAAACTGAACAGCAAAGCCTGGCAACGCTGAATGTTATTATAAAGTAACCCCTAGTGTCTGCCAGTGTCGATATCCTCAAGGCTGCAGAAAAGATAAGCCCTTCATTACTATAAGAATATCAGTCCATCTTTGGCCTAGTTGTTTGTGTTTGTTTGCATAATGCTTGGCTGCTTTTTGTGGCTTGTAGAAAGTAGCATACGAAGCCTTGTTTTTTGTACAGACTCCTCTCCTCGCACTCCAGGTGTCAGCAAGATAGTTACGGTAGACGTGAAGGCCAACGCCCCTCTGTGGATGAAACTGAAAGACCTCGCCGATGGAGTCACCTATAATTTCCGAATCCGGGCCAAAACTCTGACGTACGGCCCTGAAGTGGAGGCTAATATCACCACCGGGCCTGGAGAAGGTGAGGCTTGGTCAAGAATGGAGTTTTTTTATTTTGACGTGTGGAAGCCTTTGCAGGGTTTCAAAGTCATGGTCACTTGTCGTTGGCAGGAGCCCCGGGTCCACCTGGAGAACCCTTTATCGCTCGACATGGTACAGGCCTCACTCTGCACTGGACCAGCGGAGAGCAAGGCCGCGCTCCTATCACACGATACGTCATTGAAGCCAGGCCCTCGGGTATGTCATCTGTTATTATGCAAAACTTTGTGGCTGAGCTGATATGCACCGAGTATCATTATGCACTAGAAACTTTCTTACACTTATTTTTTGGTAAAATAAAAAACCCAGCGCTACAAATAAGATCATATTTTTTGTGGCTTTGGAAATAGAGGACAAAACAAACATTCTTCTCTCAATACATTATTTGTTACTACACCTTTTCAGACTACTTTTAATGACTCACCAGTGCACGCTAGAAACAAAGCACTGCTGTTTCAGAAATGTTCTGAGCCAGCAACTTTTATACCCAAAGCAGCTGTAACATTTTTGCAGACAAAATATGTACTTTCTGCTTCGGATAGTTATTGTATGGCATCATCAGTGATTAGAGGAGGTGTCAATTCTCTTTTTGTGTTAAAGGTTCTTCAATTGTATTGCATTGAGAAATTAACTCACATTTTTTACCAAATGACCCTGTAGTATCGACTTTATGATCATAACAGACGTATTTAAGACCAGTAAGATTTGCTGGATTCAGATTCAGATTCATTTATTTGCCATTTGCTGTAAAACCACATTGGAAAAACTGTGCAAGAATACCCCAGTGTGCCCCAGTTTTTTTTTTTTGTTTTTTTTTTTTTTTTCAGAGGAGAATAATTTATCAAGGATTTGAATTAATTGTGTCCAATCTGGAACCTGTGAGGCGCTTGCCTTTGAATAACATCTCTCCATCTTCATAATTAGAAAAGTAACCTACCTTCACTTTAAAGGAGACATATTATGCAAATCAACGTTTTTGACGATTTAACCACGTTGCATTGTTTCCTCATTAAAAACCGAGCTGGAGTCGTTTTTTTAGATCCATCCAGGAACTTCAGGCACAAATATGACAAATATGTAACTCAACCCCTTCTGTCTAAAAGCTTCTGGCTCAGTCCTGTAATAGAATAAAACTGCTCTGAGTTGGATGTCATAGTGATACAATGACAATGACTCAGAGCAGTTTTCTTCATTTTAAATGAAAAGGTTTTGCCCACAACTTAGTTTTGGCAATTTGTCAAGTGAAATGGCGGTCTTCACAATTGTATGACTGTGTTTGCAGCTGGTAAGTTCCCCTCCGGTAAAGGCTAAACATAGTAAATAGTATAATTATTGGTTGTATGATAATGTCATCGTGTCAATGTCATGATCTTACAAAGTGTATTCTGTAAAACATACTTTCTCAGATGTGTTGTTTCAAGCCTAAACCTGGTTCTCTCTCCTTAGATGAAGGACTGTGGGATATTCTCATCAAAGACATCCCAAAAGAAGCTACATCCTACACATTTAACCTGGAGTTATTAAAAGAAGGCGTAACATATGACTTTCGAGTAATTGCTGTTAATGACTACGGATATGGCTCCCCCAGTGCCCCCTCCCCCTCCATCTCAGGTTGGCTATATCCTCACACTTGTTTACCTAATAAATGATGCAGATTTACATATATTAATTTTGTTTTTCATGTCGTCACAGCTCAGAAAGTTTCCCCATTCTACGAGGAGTGGTGGTTCCTGGTTGTGATCGCACTAGTGGGCCTTATCTTTATCTTGCTGCTAGTTTTTATACTCATCATTCGTGGCCAGAGTAAGAAGTACACCAAGAAAAATGATTCAGGTACGAATAATAGCAGTTCAAACCGTTTTCCTCTTATCTGGCTCTCAGGCTTTTTACCAGAATTTGTCTTCCTGTCAAGCTGAGAAATTAGGTTTAATGATCATGTCCAGCAGGGGGCATTTTGCAAAAACACCATCCTAGTGACTGATGCAATTAAGACAAATTCCTTACATCCTTTTGCATTGTTTCTGGCTGACAGTAAAACGGTGAAACTATAAAGGTTAGCGCAGATTTAGACAGATGAACAAATATAATTGGTCATGTTGAACTGCAGCAAAGATCGATACAGGAATGAATGTCTTGGCAGTGGGTAAATGCTGAGGTCATTAGTCGGATGGAAAGTAATTATATAACAGCACTCCCATTGGTTCGCACTCGCTGCATTAAAAAGCCATTTTCAAGAAGGTGGTATTTTTCTTATTGATACAGCGGCTCCAAATGTATGCCACGTTTTCGGCTTGTTAGGAAAAGGAGAATTCTTTACGCCACATCTGTCTCAAATGTTGCTTGAATTTGTAATTTTTTTTTTTATCTAAGAGCAACTTGACCATATTGTCGACGTACTTGTTAAAACTAGTGCTACTCTTGGGTTTTGTACTTTTGAACAAATGAGTCGAAGTTGCATATATTTAATTTAGTTTCTCAAAACATTGTTGGAATTGAGAGACATGCGAAAAGTCTGCTGCTGTTCATTTTAGAAAACTTTAGTTTGTAGCAAGGCGCTGTGGTGGTTTCCAAGGTTGCATTATTAAAAAAAGGAGGCTCTGAACAGACGAGGATTGTGGCCAGCGCCAATGGAGCTTTATCAAAAGAAAAACGTAATTGAATAAAACTACATTGACATTTTTCCCTCAGACAGATAGACATTGTGCATACCAGAGAAAAAAAGTATTGTTCAGAGAAACAGGAAGAGACTGGACCAGGTATAAAGCATGAAAATATGATTTTTTTTTGTATGATGAAGATTATTATTATGCAAAACATTCTGTAGGAGAATGCAGTATGGCAGGCAAGATATTTGTCTGTCACTCCTGATGTGAACTACTAAGAACTAGCAGTATTGATCATCAGAATCAGGATTATTGTAAAGTCATTGTAAGTAACAGGAAGTCACAAACTAGGACATTACTTTGGAATATGGTGCAATGATAACATTTGATAAAATAGTCAAAAATAGATATAGAGCCATGCATAAAAATCTTTAATTCTAAAATATAGATACACACCGGTGTCCGGGTGGACTGTGGCCTGGTGTCTGTGGGAGGTTAATATGGTTGATAGTTTAATGGAAAATATGCATTTGACCAGTCAGTCTACAATACTTCGCTTTCTACACCTTTGGTGCAGTTTTGATTTAAAAAATGTAATCCAAACTCAAGGTATGTTATAATAAAATCCAAATGTATGTTCAATAAAACAAATCATTATCAAAAAATAGCGTCCATAAATTAAAATAACTGGGCACTCTCACTTCTTCTGGGTTCAAATCCTGGTCTGAACAGGGCCTTTCTGAGTGGAGTTTGCATGTTCTCCCTGTGTCTGCATAGGTTTCCTCCGGGTGCAAAAGGTCTGGCATGCGCCTCCTGTACGGCGACCTTGCTCCCATGTCTGTATGGAGTGAGAGACAAATGCCCACGATTGTTAAGCGCTCTGTGACTCTGGTCTGTGAAAGGCACTATATAAATAAAGATTTCTTACTTACTTACTTAAAAGGTAAATATAGAAAAAATAACCCCAGGTGCAAAAGAATAGCTTCAACCCAACTTCTAAATTACATTTTTTAATATTTATTTGATTTTCAACTCTTTACTTTTATTTCTTAAATTTACAATTTTAAGCAAATAAAGTTTGATTGGAGCGGAGGCAGCGAAACTTGGAACCTCAACATGTTCCCACAGTAATCATATATACCTCAACACCCTTTCACTGAATGTACTATTTTGTCCAGGTAACCACTCCAACTGCACCTCGCTGCCTCTCACCCACGGAGAGATGGTGCGCATGGACGAGGGCCGCTTCCCAACCCTGGAGCTCAACAACAGACGCCTCTCTGTGAAAAACTCCTTCTGCCGCAAGAATGGCATCTACACACGGTCAGACATCTTTACTTCTGCTGATCTTTTTACTGCGCTGGTCGGCGTGTTCTCTGCTTTTGTTCGAGCCAATGTTGTATCAATTTAATCAGCGGCCTTTTCAGCTGAGAGCCACACTGACAGGAATGAATCATGTTGTGTTCACACTGATAATGGTAAATCTTGAGAGACGGCTAACCCCGCGAAGGCCATTCGATATTCAAATCCTCATTAATATTCGCCATTTGTGTGAAGTAGCATTTTATAGAGACTCCGTGCACAATGGTGGCTAATTAGCATTCATCAGATTCTGTGTGGGCTTTCTGTCCATCAGTGCTTTAGAGATAGTCACAGGCCAGCCTTGTCCCTTTATTCAAGGCATGTGTACGTATGTGAGCCTGCTGCTAATCAGTCTCTGCTATTTGCCTTGGATAAACATTAGATAAGAGATCTTTATGCTTACAGTAACGAGATGTGTTGTTCTAGGTCTTGCAGTTAATGAACATGAAAGCAAATGTAAATTCTAATCAATTCCTCAACTGGCCAGAGGTTTGAGTCAATAAACACTGCGATTCATTAACATAAAATGCAAAACGTTTTCTCATCATGGACACATGAGAAATGTTGCGAACTAGACTGCTTTTAACAATGCAGTGTCTCTCATTCATTAAAATAGATAAAGGTTAAGTATGTGTTATTGATTCCCATAGGAAATCTTTTCCTGTGCATTTGGCTCATCCTGTAATACTACCAGAGCCTGTGTCAGGGGCAGTGGTCACCACAGTTTAGCATCTGGGGACGCATCTACAGTTGTTGAAGTTTGGCTTGGTCAGGACTTCAAGAGCTGCGGGATTTTAACTGTTGTTTTTAGTGGTTGGGAACTAACCACTCTGCCACTTCATTTTGTATGTATGTTTTTACATACATACAAAATCTTAAAAATTGAGATTCAAAGATCTCATTTCTAACTGTGTCCTGGCCAAATGACATTACAATGCAGCCCTAAATTTACTGTTACAGGAATAAAACATACAATAAATGTTACATGTAGAATTATAGACAATGATTGCATTTCCAGGTCTCTCAGTACGGTGTTCAAATGTTCCATGGAGATTTTGGAGTTGAGTAGTTTTCCGCAATAAGTTCCAATCTGTGGTTTACAATACTGGAAAGATATTTTTTCAGTCCTGACGTGAGGGAAGAGCACAATAATATGTCCAAATGCATGGGCTCTTCTTAACTCAGCATTAGAAATCCATTGTACAGTAGATGGACAGGTTCCTGGTCCTTGTTCTTCAAAGTAACAATGTTATATTTTGTTTATGTCAAAGAGGCTCTTACTTCCCTTCAATAACAGCCAACAGACTGACGAGTTACGTTGCATTCTGTCCTGGCTTCTCATTTGACCAGTAAAGGGCTGTAAATGACTGGGACATAAACAACGTGTTATTACAATGTAAACATGTTGACTTTACACATTCTTTTGGGTAACAGGCCAAAACCTACATTATCGTCAGGGGATATTGGCAGTGTTTTTTTGCCTGACCAGAGAGGCCAGAGGAGGGGATCAAAGAGGCCTCAGTGTATCTTGCTGCCTTTGAAGAGGTGCCACAGTCTTTACTAATGATCTGTGGACTGAGCATGCGGAGCGGCCGAGGGCTTCCCTGTGGGACATCAGCGGGAAGCAGGAGCTGGTGATTAGATGATAAGACAAGTAAAAAGACAGCTCTCCTTAATAATTCAAATTTCACTTGCAGTATTTTGGAGTGGTCAGGCATGGTGTGAAGAAATCCCCTCCCCGCCAAAAATCTCTTTAAAAAAGAAATATTAAGCAATCTCTTTGGCCATTAAAAAAGGATAACGAGACTTTTTATTTTGTCACTTCATGTTCTAGAATGCGAAATAATATCTTAAGTAAAAACGCATCGTGAGGCAAAGTATCTGCCTGCCCTGAACCACCATATTGAAGGGGGGAATTTGTTTTGGAAAAAATGCTTGTGATCCTGACAAGCTGCAAACAAAGTCATGTGGTTTAGAAAAATCTAATTTCAAAATCTCAAAAAAGTCGATTTGCATAGTACGTCTCCTTTAATTTCAACCCAAACTTTTCCTTAATCTCAAGCCATTCCCTCAGAACATTATCCACTTAAGACTAAAAAAGATGTCTCCTTTTTTGTGTCAACACCTTCACGACCATCAACCCGTCCCGTCCCTGTAGCGCGCCTCTCTTGGCAGCCACCTCGCGTTCCATGTCTCCTTTATACGAGAGGTTGTAAGGTTGTCTGCCAAGCACTTAAAATTACACTTGACATCACATTTTTATGCTTGTCTGTGTACCATTTTCTCTCACAGACACTTTAAATATTCATGCTCTTCCCAGTTGGAGTAATCCTTTAGACTGCGCTCTCAACGCCCTGCTATAGTCAAACTTTCTGATGTGGAGATGCTAGAGAAATGCTCTGAGACATCCAGCCGGTCGGTTCTTTTTCCGCCCGTTCTGACCTTGAAGGGAACTGTAATTATTGCACGAATAATAGTATCCACAGATGTCTCCGTTAAAGAGTTAATGAGTAGAGTGGGAAAAGTCAGAGGTCCTGTATAACGTGACCTAAGACACTATTAGGGTCATTTGTTCAGCGGGGCTATACAAAACATTTCAACGGACATCAATATTGCTGAGAGGAGAATAGAGATTCAGGGTTTGGTAAAAATGTATAAATCTTAGAACAGGTGCTTGTCGAGAGTGTGAGAGAAATTAGATAAAAGAGAAAAAATATTGCCCTGACGGTTACATAATGTTCCTATTGAGTTTTGTCCATGAGCTTTTCATGCTCAGGTCAAAGTCTCTTCTCTCAATACAGAGTGACAGAGCATTTTGAGAAATAAAACGGGTATTTTTTTTTCATAAAATCAATTTAAGAGTGTGGCAAAGGTGTGTCTGTAATGTCTACATGTGGAATGGAACATTAGAATATTGTTCAAAAGTCTATTTACTTCCGTAATTCAACTTACGATGAGAAACTAATATTTGATAGACTCTTTAAACACAATGTGAGATATATCAAGTATTTTTTTGTTATTATGTTTATTATTTGCTCACAGCTTGTAAAAACCCCAATCAAAATATATCAGTATATTAGAATCTGTTTTCAAATTGACTGTAAGCCATAATCATCAAAATCATAACAAACATAGACTTTTATTGTTTGTCTCTTTGCATGTAATGAGTCTATATCTTAAATTGGTTTCACGTTTTAAGTTGCTTATTCTCATTTTCAAAGTTTCAGCTGTAATTTGTGATAATTGTGGGTCAAGTTTTTTTAGTTTTTTTTCTACAGGAATCTTTGTTTTGTTTTTTTAGATTAGTACAAAATTATATAATGCCAAGTTTGATGTTGATTATAACTTAATTGTTCTTCACTATTTGTATCTTGGCCAAAAAACATTTGAACTCACACTCACTCACACAATGGGGCATATTTATCAATCCAAGTGCTCTATGTATGCAAAGTAAAATCATTTCCATGGTTTCTTTCTGTCTACACACACATTATAAATCCTTTTGCTCCCGTTTTTTTAAGGCATTAACTGCTAAGAACTCTTTTGGCCCCAGCTTAGTTCATGATGCATTTCCTTCTTGTCTAAAGGTACATTTCCAATAACTCTGATTTTTCTAGACACAAAGTTATATATTTCCTACCATTACAAAATGATTGGGAAGGGAAAAGGACAAGGAAGAGTATTAGCATTCGATAAACTAAAATAAATATAGTAGTTTTTCTGGTAAATATGTCACAATGGTATACGTATCTGTTTTTGCCATGTAGAAGGCAGACTGCGGTTACAGTAAGTATGCACAAAGTTACAGTGTCAACCATCTGGCCTCTCTGAACATTCCTCAACTGCTCCAAGGTCTTCAACTTCAACTCATTGCACTTCCTCCAATCCTATGCATGAATAATCTAAATCTGCTCCCTGCTTGTTCCCCAGATCGCCCCCCAGGCCCAGTCCCGGCAGCCTGCACTACTCCGATGAAGATGTCAGCACCAAATACAACGACCTGATCCCCGCAGAGAGCAGCAGCCTCACAGAGAAGCCGTCCGAGATATCCGACTCCCAGGTAACTCTCGCTCACTGCCACCGCCTTGTCTGGAATACGAAATCAAGTCAAGTTAAAAGTTGGATGTGCCCATTTGTCACAGTGGCACAGTGATCCTCCAGGGAATGATATAACCTTTGCAACCTAAAAATTACAGCTATTTCAGATTTATGGTCAATTTCAAAGTCTGCGCTTAAGTTGTCAGGAATTTCATATTGATTTATTTCACGGGAAGTCAAACTTCTGACTTTGAATTTGTTCCAATTGGAAGATGACTACGTTTGATTCTGTTATTGTGATTCTGAATATGCATTAAAGCTGGGGTACTTAACTTACAAAGTGGGGGAAATTGAGCTATGTCATCAAATCCATTTAACTACAGTAGCTCTCAAAACTGGGGGTTTATTATTAGTTTTTACATGCGTGTATCGGACAAAAAAAATGAAAAAGACCCCGCTCTCTCAACCAATCAACTCTCAGTGTCAATTAGTGACTTTCTTACAAGTATGAGAACGATGACATGTTTTCTAAAAGTTAAATAGATAAGCTTGGGGTGATCTGATTCTTTTGTCTTTTTTTCTGCTGGAACAAACAAAATGTTAGGTACTGACAATGGGAAATTGAAAAATGTCTGGGCATCAAGATCATACTGGAATGAAAGATCAAATTGTCAATAATAGCTTCTAAAGAAAGCTTCTGATAGCAAAGACAATGATAACGGAGTCCAAGCTCAGACCACAGCGCCCACCATCACTGAGTGGAAACGCAGGTAAAGGGATGTGTATATAAGATGGAACAATTAACGGCCGACTGCAAAATGAAAACTGACTTATTCACAGATAAATGGTCCTCAGTTAAGACTTGTCAAATGGATGATTGCTGTTTTTTTTCTGTGTGTCTTCTATAATGTATGTTTTCTATTAGTAAACGAACATGGCTGTCATAGACCATACAACAACAACTGCACTGATATTTTCCATCTGATTGCTGTTTTGTAAATAGGAGTAATTTGCAACATTTATAATAGATTACAAAAAAGAAAAGAAAAGATTTAGGTTTCCCAACTTGAATACATACAATGTTTTTCATTCTATTCCTCTGCAATATAATATAGGAGGTGATGGAATTGCTCACATTTGTGGTCTCACATTCCATCTCATTTTTATCTTTGAGCTGCTGAATAAAAGCACAGTTAAAGACACTTTAAATAAACAGCGATCTTGTAGGAGGCACAAACCTGTGTTTTTCTTCTCACTCAGCACTGCCCCCTGTGTTTACCTGCCTCTTGTGCAAATAAACGGTGCTTAGACATCTGCTGAGCACCAGGACCTGGACACAGCGGTAGACTGGCCACTAGTGTTCCAATAGATGTGTTACTGCGTTGTATTATACAGAACACAGTTGTATAAATATACTCTTGTATAAATGCAGATTGTATTATTGTGCCATTAGTGTCACTACAGAGTGTTTTGTGTTTGTTGCACAGGGCAGTGACAGTGAGTATGAGATGGACCAGAGCCGGCAGAAGACTCACTCCTTTGTGAACCACTACATCAGTGATCCCACTTACTACAACTCGTGGAGACGGCAGCCGAAGGGTGTGTCCCGCCCTCCAGCGTATGGCTACGCACAGCCCGAACCTCTGGTGGAGCAGGAGTCCAGACCACTGCCCCCTCCAGTGCCCCCCCTGCCCCCTCTCCCCCCACTGCTGCCTCAGAGTGCCTCCACACCACAGCCCCAGGGCCAGGGCACCCTGTTCAGGCCCAAAGGCAGCCGGACTCCCACCCCCTCCCTGCTGTCGTCTGAACCGCTGAGTCAGCACAGCACCCTGTACCGGCCCCCCAGCAGCCTGGGCTGTGCTCAGACGCCCAGCGCCGGCTTCTCCTCCTTTGTTTGACACACTCTGAAAGCGGGGGACCCTGAGGACAGGCCATGTGCTGGTTGTTCATTTGATTGTGTTTGTCCGGTTCTGTTGCACACAGAGTTGTTTCTCTGTATTTAGCATCGCAGGCATCTTGACTTGCGCTTTTTCCTTTCTCAAGCGTGTTGGTCTGACTGTGTGCGTGAATGGTCAATTTGTTTGACATATTTTATGAAAAAAGACAATCATTTGAGAGATTGAATGCATTTCAAAGGGGGCTATGAAGACAAAGCCCTTGTATTAACACACTGTATCTATGTTAAATATGAGAGCTTTATTGAACAACGGTCACCTTAAACACACCAGAATGGGCCGCATGGTAGGACTGGACAGTGGCTGCAGACGCTCTGGACTAATGTGATATTTAAACAGTGTGTGGTGGACTTTGGCACTGGCATCGCTGCTCAGCGCAGCCTTAGGCGCAGTTTGAACTTCTGCCTAATCATTGTTGGAAATACATTCTGTGTTGATATGTACTTGTCCATATTGTTTACAAAATATTTATATCAGACAGCTCAAAGCTAAACATTTTCAGAATATCACTAGTGGTAATGTAATGAATCACATTAAAATGTTGTGGCACCTGGATAGTTGTCTGGCAATATTTTGACAATGTGCTGCTTTATTATTTTGAAATAATGACAAAAGTAAAGAAGACCAAAACGATGTTTTATTTGTATTACATATATCTATTTTTAAGCTGTGCCAGTAATTAAAAAAACATTACTGCTGTGAGGATAGGTCTTCAGAATCGCGTTCATTTGATTAGCTGTACACAAACATGCTCTAAACACAAAATCACTCTCACTTTGACTGTTGCTTTTTAAAAGTTGGAAACGTTGGCGTGCAGAAATAATGAATGGTTCATTTGTCATTCTGTCAGAATTGGAATTTGCATATCACTGTACATGAGCAAGGAAAAAATAAGGACCTATTCATGGTAGCACTTAAATAAATTATTCTATTTTTAACTGTCTTTCTATTGACTACTTGACAAACACATTTTGTATGTGGGTACGAATCTTACTTTTGCCTTTTAATACAGGCACCTTGCCTCCTCTCATTAAAAGCAAAAGTTGATCCTTTGGTGCAAAATGACCTAATCCTCTGAGCCACAACACGCACATAATTGGAGGCCATAAGAGTCGGGGAGAAGAATTTGCAGAGGAACCTGATCACATGTGCAGAGACTGAAGCTCTGTGGAGGGGGAGGGCCTGCGCCTGGGTAATCTCCTTATTTCAGACCGGAAAACATCGATCTCAAGAGAAGCAGAAGAAGGAAGACCTCTCCCATTTGATGAGGTGCTTTTAAAGAAAGGAAAAGTCAAGCAGAGCCAAGGGTAAAAGCTTGTTAGTGGTTAAACATTGTAATCAAACATAGGAGGCAGTGCAACGTTGGTGATTATGCAAACACAATGCTATTACAATCACCTGAATGGAATCGTTGAGTGGTTCTTGAAGGAAGTGTACTGCAACTTGTAGCATAATAAATGCTTGTTCTCTACAATATACCACAGCTCATACTATTGTTTTGTTCTTGCTTGTTTCACAATACTACAAAGGTGCAATTATATTCTATTCATAATAAACAATAATTGTCCAGGCTGACTTCTTGATTAAGAGATTGTTTTTCTTGCGGAGTTCCTTGCCTTGTGTTAATTCAATTTACTTTGTATAGCCCTAAATCCCAACAGCAGTCATCTCTGAGGATTTACAAAAATGTTGATTCACCAACACAGAGCACAGAATCAAACAGGCAGGTTTTATTAAGACCTGTCAAAAATGAGACAAGATGCAGATTGGTCTAGGATATAGACAGAAGACATTTTGTTGATGAACAAAGACGACACAAAAAGAGATTTTCTGCGTGGAAGTAATATTACCATTAAGGAATCATACAGTCCAATCAGCACCTACCACAGTTCCACTAGCTTTGGTCTTCAGATAACCAAAGCATCAAGTGGATATTTACTAGCTTGTGCATAGTGGCCTAATGATGAGTACAGCTTTATCCACAGTTGTGAAGAAGATGACATAGTCTGGGTTCGTGTCTTAAATTCAGACAGAAGACATGTTTTATTGTCAATGGTAGAGACAGCACGAACAACACGAACAACAGAATGCAAGTGTATTATACAGAGCGGAGGCATGGAGACCTCCAATCAGCAGCTGCCACAGTGCCAGCAGAGATAGTCAAAACATGAAGTGGAAAAGTACAGGCTTCTGCACATTGATAGAATGATGAGTTTAACTTTAACAAAAGTTGCTTAAGTTGAAGAAGATGACATAGTCTGGGATCGCGTCTTTCATTCAGACAGAAGACATGTTTTATTGTCGATGGTAGAGACAGCACGAACAAAGCACACGATCACAGAAACAATAGAATGCAAGTGTATTATACAGAGCGGAGGCATGGAGACCTCCAATCAGCAGCTTCCACGGTGTGCTTGTAGCTTGGCCTTCAGATAGACAAAACAAGGGAAAAGTACTGGCTTCTGCACATTGATAGATTGATAAGTTTAACTTTAACAAAAGTTGCTTCAAAGTGTTATGAAATCTCACATTCCCCCCTCTGGTCATACATTCACGTGTGACCATCAGGATCGATAAACAGCAACATAACATCATAACTCAATACTTCAAAAACTCATAAACTCGGTACTTCACTCTGTACTTCAAAAAACTCAGAACTCGGAATACTTCAAAAACTCAGAAAACTCATAAAACATGTTCAGATCTTTCATAAAACTTGTCAACAATCTTCAGTAAAATACCAAACTTCATCAGTCGATGGTGGTTCCAGATATTGCTTTGAAAACAGTCTCTCCCACTTCTCCGTGTTGGTTTCTTCAGGCTGCATTTGTGTCGAGCCATGAATTCTTCTGTGACGTGTCTTTCAATCACACGTTTCAGCTTTAGTGTCCAGATTCAGCAATTCAATTCAGTCCAAATTATGTCCAAATTGTGTAATCCAATTTTTCCAAATGGTGTCCATGCAAAAGAGGACGCTGTCCATGTCTCAGCAGCTCACAGCCTGACTGGAATCAGGGGCTGTGCAGATTGTCCAAGTGTGCTGGTCCAGATGCATTCTCTTGGGGTTTTTCAGTTTTGGCTTAAAAAAAAACACTTTTTGTGTAAAAAAAAAAAAGTCTTCTGTTCTCTAGATGTTACAGACAAGGCCCGCATCCTTCCACCACCTGAAGAAGATGACATAGTCTGGGATCGCGTCTTTCATTCAGACAGAAGACATGTTTTATTGTCGATGGTAGAGACAGCACGAACAAAGCACACGATCACAGAAACAATAGAATGCAAGTGTATTATACAGAGCGGAGGCATGGAGACCTCCAATCAGCAGCTTCCACGGTGTGCTTGTAGCTTGGCCTTCAGATAGACAAAACAAGGGAAAAGTACTGGCTTCTGCACATTGATAGATTGATAAGTTTAACTTTAACAAAAGTTGCTTCAAAGTGTTATGAAATCTCACAAAGTGTTATGAAATCTAACAGTTGCTTAAAAAGTGTGACTATGGCTGCGGTCACATGCGCACCCTAAAGCCCGGTTAAAATGGACCTGAGCCCAGCGATTTGATTTGGATTTTGGTGCTCTGTGACTGCGGCAAGTGGGCTTGGGAACGTTTCTGCAAGTGAGCTTGGGCATGGTTGAGAGAGGTGGGCCAGAGCACGCTTTGTAAAGCCCAGATGAGGGGGCTGTGGCAGGTGGTGGGGAGTGGGGGTTGAGGTGTGCTGGGGACTTGATATTGGTCGTCACATTACCTCTTCCGTTGTGACGCGCATTTTCACACGTCTCTGCACTTTGCATTCTCCGCTTGTGTTAAACCTTTCATATACATAAGCCCCCGGACCGTGGTTGAGGGGCACAGGGGGGTGTGTCGCTCCAGGGCCAAAGCAAAGCGTTTCCTACGGGAATAACTCCCTCTGTCCTGACCTTCGCTCTCAGTGTGGTGCTATTGCAATAAGATATCAGACATTTAATCATCAATATCATCATGATATGTAATCATCAGAACACACACACTTGTATCCTGTCTGGCTCCGGTCGCTCTGCTCGTACGCCACACACACATGTTATGCACTGAACTGCTGCACTTTGCATCAGAGCAATGTGGACAAGTGTGAGATTTATCTTTCCCTAAACAGCGCGATCCGTACTCGAGCTGTTACCTACAGTAGCAGAATGTAAACAGGAAGAGAAACGGAAACTTAACTCAGATAACAAGGTCGTTGCTGGAGATAGTATTAGCACCACCAGCTGGACCGAGCGTTGTACTACAGCACAGTTTCTCTGGCACGGTTGCAAGAAGAAGCTCTTGTGACCACGGGCCGTGCTTCACACCCCTGTGGCGACGATCCGGGCCACTTGGCCTAGTTTGTTTTTAAAACCTATGTGACCGTGCCCTTGGGCCCCGTTTAGACGGAGACGCTGCAGAGACGCCGAAAGCAATCAGCAAAAATGTCCAGGTGCACAGCCTTTACACAACAACGGAAAACAATATAGTTCTACCGCCCAGCCAGTAGGGGGGAGTGGAACTTTACGAAAGCACACGTAGCTTTAGTTGAACCGCCCCCATTGTTGTTTAAGTTCGATCTTCACTACTGCGAATGTCCAAATATACATGCAGGGAAGTGGGAAGGTCATAGCAGGCAGAGAATTCACACCTTTTTCTTCACACAGTTCACAGTTTCCACTCTGGAGGCTGTTTCTCAACACTTACGTTTTCACTCCCCAGAAACACCGTCCCCATGTAAACAGGAAGCCAAACTTATACCCAACTCTCATGCCGCGTTCAGACCGGATTATGTGTTGTGGCGACTTTCAATGCAAAGTCAATGGTGACGCGCGTTTGAGCGCTGAACTGCATGTGTGTCTCGGATGCACGCACAGACTGTGCGGTAGAGAAGCGCGGACTGCGCAGCAAAGGCGCAGGAGCGGATAAACGACGCACGCAGGAGATA